TTGCGCGTGTTCGGTTTCAGTGTTCTGCCTTGGAGAATAGGCTGGATCAAAGCTGTATGACATGTTCAGGAATCTGCTCGCAGTAGCGGCACACCTCGAGAGTCTCCTGGTGCTTTTCGAGGAAGCTGCTCACGTCCCTCGCGTGTGGAACGTTGCCTCGGCTTTGCAAGCGAACCGAGGCTACTAAACCCATGTAAACCCTGAACCCGAGCCTGATCACTCCGCTCGAAGGCTGCTTCAGGCTTCCCATCCATGGATGGCACGAGGGCGTGGAAACGCACTTGGGCGAGGGCTGAGCTCGGTGGCGAGGCGCTGGCTCATGCCTTCAGAGGATCAGGGATCAATATCTTTCTTCGAGATGTTGAGGATGCACCGTGACTCCACGTATCTATGGTCCTCGTTCTGGCAATGTGCTTAGTGGGTTTTCGTATGGTGCGTCAATTCCCAGTCGCATCCGCAGCCAAAGACTCTGCAGCCCAGCGTCTTTGCACCTTCGACAGCGACTGCCTGCCAGAGCACGCAGGTTGCATAGCAGTGGATGCCCTCTGAGACTTGGAAGGCCTGTCACCTGTGGGCTGATGGCTCTTGGCTTGGACTTTCCCTTTTACTTTCCGGTGCTACTTGGAGGATCATGGGACTTAGTCAGGTTACAAATACTTTGTTTGGGATTGTAAGTAGTTAGAAGTACAGCTACCCTAGTTACTAAGTCCCAAGATCCTTTCAGTAGTCGATGAGGCCACGGAAGAATCCATATATATATATATATATATATATATATATACATATACTTATATTTATTTATTTATTTAAATTCAAAGATATATATATAGAGAGAGAGATATATATATATATATAGACATATATATATATATAGATATATATATATATATAGATATATATATATAGATATATATATGCAGCCCTTTCATGCCCGTGCCTGAACTCCACGATGGGCCCCTGGGCCGCCATGACATCCTCGACCTGCTTCTGATGGGTTCTTGGGCTGAGGGTTTAGGGTTTACGGTTTCAAACCCTAGACCCTAAACCCTAAGCCCCAGGCCCTAAGCCCAAGGAGGTAAGATTCTAGCATTTGGGGCAGTACAGTGAGTTACCCTACGAAACTTGCGAAGCATCTCCTGCGCACAAAGGAGCCGAAACTTTCACGGCGAGTCTTGTGATTTGCAAAACAAAATGGTTGGTCGCACGTCCACTTCTGAAAATGTGGTTCCTTGAGATGTGGGCCCACTCTTACCCGAGGTTTAGGTAAGGGTTTACGTAGGGCTTCTGAATGTCGAGTCCAGCTGCTGCTTGCCGGAAAAAGAAGCACGAAGCCACAGCTGCAGCCTTCAAGCCATTCCTTCTGCGCTCCCCCTTCCCGCCCAAACCGCAGCTGTGGCTCACCTGGCGACGGCATGCCAGCTCGAGCTTGCTCTGCATCTTGGCCTGGCCAAAGGGTATATGGAGTAGGAAAACAGGATCGTAAATAGTTTCTAAGAAAACAAAGCATGGACTAGAGCTGAACTTGGGTGGCACTTCGGTGCAGCACTCACACATGAGGGGCCTGAATGAACGGGCAAAGGCCTAGATGCCTGGCATTGATAACTTTGCGGAGGACCAGGAAGGAATAATGTTGATGTTTCGCTAGTTTTGTCGCTGGACGCTCGGGTGCATCCGGGCCCGTAACGTGCGAATCGCTAATCATAATAATAAGAATGACAAAAAACAACAAGACTAACCTTAATAACAATGACGATAATAACAGCAATAACAATAGCCATGCTAATTGTGATACGGGTCAGGGTTGAGGATGGAGGCTCGCGCCTCCAGCTGCGAGAGGCCTCTTTGGGAAGACTCGACCTAGGCTTCCAGGTGTCAGTTGGGGTGATAAGGGGGCCTTGTTTAGGGTTAGGGTTCAGGGGTTTAGGGGTTTAGGATTTAGGGGTTCAGAGTTTAGGGGTTTAGGGCTGTAGGCTTTGGGGGATAGAGGGAGTTCCGCAATTCTCTGAGTTCTGAGATGCCGTCCGCCGTGCGGAGGTTGAGGATCTCGGACCTCAGCGCAAGAAGCTGCCAGACGGAGCTGGCTTTCAGGGTTTAGGGTTAGTCTCCCTGAGCTTGGAATTCCAAGTGCTGATTTTGCACTGCGTAGGTAAGCGTGCAGTAGAAGCTGAAATTGGTGCGCCCAGCAAGCGGACAGCTCTAGCATGGCCACTATTGTCACTATTGCTTTGGGCAACTGAGCAACTTTCCTGGCAAGGCAAACTCCAAAAGCGGACCGCGACAGAGGACAGAAGGAAACCAACAAGGGACAAACAGAGAAGTCACAGCCGACGTTTGTCAGAAAGGTGTGAGGTCAATCTAAGACGAGGCAGGTATTACAGAGTCTGAGGGCACGGCGTGCCTAGATTTCGAGCGATTTGATAGTCACACATGCATTGATGCTATTGCCCACGAAGCACTGCCATCACGGCCATCATTGCAGTACAGGATAGCAGCCCTTTCGTGCCAGAAAGGCTGCGTCGCTGTTGCGGTGTCTATGCCGAAGCGGCTTTGGGTGTGATGACAATAGTGGGGAGTCTGAGTTACAAATACAAGCAGCATTGCTTCTGCCGGCATCAATTTCCGTCACCGCGCCAGTACCGAGCCCGAATCTGACAAGTCACACCGTCCTCCGTCGCACTAGCTCCTAAAGGAACCCCGGTAAAGGAACAGCCACAAGGGCTCCTTTGAGGGTTCCACAGGGCTTCGTCTTTCTAAGACATCGGCTCCACATCTCCCACCGGAGCTCTCCAGCCGGCCTCGTCTTCGACTACCGGGGGCTTGGAGACTCGGGGGCTTGACGTAGGGCTTGGATCTTGCGGCGGTTTCTGCTTCAAGGCCTCGGCTTAAAAAGTAGCTCGGAGCTCCCAAACTCGAGCAGAAGATGGAGAGCCGCGACGTCGACGGCAGGACCGACTACCACCATGACGCGACCTCCACAAGACCGACAACAACCACCAGACCACAACCACAGCCACAACGACAAATACAAGGAATACAAATCGGCATGTCGTAAACCCCTGCAACCCGAAGTCCGAAACTTCTAAAGTCCTCAGCCGTGTAGAATCTCGCAGCCCCCAGCCCTTCAATCCCTAAACCCATGCACCCCTGAATCCTAAACAAACCTAATCCCCTAGCTGGATACTGCCATTACAAACCCTCAAAGGCACCCTTAAAAAGAACCCCTCAAGGGAAACCCTTAAAGGGACCCTAAACAGATCCAACCCTTATAACAACCCCTATTCCTATAGATCTCATAATGACTCTTATGGCTAGTTAGTTCTCTAAAGTAGGGTCCCTTTGAGGGTCCTTTTTATAATAGTGCCGTACTATTTGGGGGGACCTTGAAAGGTTATAATGGCTTGACTCTTATACTTACCTTTGGTTAGTAGGGAATGGAGGAATGGGGTACAGTACTACTACTACTACTACTACTACTACTACTACTACTACTACTACTACTACTACTACTACTACTACTACTACTACTACTACTACTACTACTACTACTACTACTACTACTACTACTACTACTACTACTACTACTACTACTACTACTACTAATTACGATTCTTCCATTCCCTACTAACCAAGGGTAAGAAAAATTGCCCAGACCAAAACCCTAAACCCTAAACTCCTAAATCCCCAAGACCAGGGAGAGAAATGCTTCGTCGGCCGAGCCTGGCCCGCACAGCCGAAGGCTGGGGTGCCCGGCGCGGCGCCTCGGTGTTTAAAGGCTTAGGGCTTTGGGCTTGCAGGGGCTGGAGCAGTGGATTGGGGTGTATACTGCGGTAGGGGGCCGGAGAACCTGAGCAGCAGGGAACGGAGCTTGGTCGGATGCTTCACCCGGACGAAGAAAGTTTAACCGCAGGCCAATCCAACGTGCGTACCTCCTTGAAAAGACGCCTTGGCCTTGGACCCTTTTGAGCGCCCTGCCCTCCAAGCGCAGCATCTGAAACGTCACAGGAGGCCAGCCATTGTCATAGCAGTCATGGCACTATGATTCCGAAACTACGGTTGCTGAGGGTTCTGGATGCTTGTAGCAAGCTTTTCGAACTCTGTTGCGTGTCCCGCAAATTTCGGGCGGTTGGATCAACTCCAAGCTCTAAGCAACCTCACCCGAACCTACGTGATCTCGACAGATCTATTTTAGTGTCACTGTTAAAGGAGCCACTTACGCAGCTAGGTTGATAGACAGCTCCTTTCTTTCTTCTGGAGTCAGCTTGAGGCCAGAGGTATACTCCATGTGATCCTGTCGGTCAGATTGCCGAAAGCGGAATCTGAACCACTGCCCTGCAGCCCCAGATCCATCGACAGCCTAATTACATCCCAGAACTCCGGTTTTAGGGTCGAGGACTGAGATTCAGGAATTTAAGGGCCGCAACTCCAATGCAGGAACCGAAACGCTCACGTCGCCCGCGTTTTGGCTGCGTCTTTGCGCAGCGGGTCTGTGACCTCGTCCCAATGTGGGCGAAAAGCCTCGAGCAGCGGTGGTCTAGCTTACTGTGGCCTTCGAGATGCAGTGCTTTCGGCTTCAGGAAGTTTCGAAGCTTGTAGTAAGTGGTAATAGTGTCAGTACTTGAATACTCTTATTACTGTAATGCTTACTAGTAGTAGCAGTACTATTATTATCAGTCTTACTTGCTATTGAAAAAATTATGGCTATTGCTTTGCTAAGGTTAGCCCTCGGCAAGGCTCCAGCAGCGCGGGCGAGAGGAGTGAATCTGAGGAAGAGTGCTGAGGGCCGCCAGTAGAGGATCACAGCTTCCAAAGCAAGGGAGAAATAATAAAACAATAATACTAATAATAACAATAATAATAATGATGATTATTATTGTTATGATTAGTATTTTTACAGCGAGGGAGAAATTAGAATGAGAACTCTAGACTGTGGGATGATGAAGCATGCGCTTGCATCCCAAACCCTCAGCCTGAAACTCTAAACTGCACCCTGAAAGCCCGAATCAGAAGAGCCCAAGAGCGGACGCGGGCACAGATCTGGGTGGTGGCACGTTGTAGACGCGAGTGCGGTTGTTGGCAAACCATTCGTCGTCCTGCGCTCATGCGGCGGCGATATTTACTGATCCCGGGATGTGTCGGAACGCTTTTGCGATTAGCTTCAAAAGGCGTTGAACAGGCGATGAGAGGAAGAATCCAGTGGAGGAGCTGTTATGTAAGGCTGGACCACATGAAGACACGATTCGCAAGGAGCACCAGTCCTCAGGATCAGACTTCCAAAACTCAAAAATCCCCTGTTTGAACTCAAAGCCAAGGTTCCCTTTCGTTGTGGAACTGACGGAGCCAGCGCTCAAAAGCTTCTTCGCTGGTGCCGTGAGCAGCTGCCTCGCACGGGCGTGGCCGGGAGGGACGCTTGGAATTGAGGACAACGGATTACCTCTGAATCTCACTCCACAGAAGACGAAAAACACCACAGTCATGAGAGAAGGCAGAACTCGGTGCTAATGTAACGAATGGGCATTCTCGAGAGATGGGTGTGCAAGCATGCCTTTTGATGAGGCCGCCGCTGCAGATGATGATGATGGTGATGTTGGTGCTGGTGACGACGACTATTGCGGATGACGATGAGAATGACGATGGTGATGACGCGATGACCAAAACGATGATTGCTATTAGTACTACTCTGATGATATGATGATAGTGTTGGTGTTGGTGCTGGTGCTGGTGCTGAAAATGTTGATGATGCTGATGATGCTGATGCTGCAGATGATAGTGACGACTACCGCACATGAAGAGACACGACGACTCATGATGGCCGTGATGTGTCCGAAGTGAATGACTATCTTGAAGGTGCTGGTGATGACTTCGTGGTGATGGTAACTACTGTGTGTACCTTCCTACGGTGCCTCCACCATGGAGCTTCGCACCAACTCGTAGAAGGGGCGGTTGCGGGCCTGCATCTGAGCAGTGCGTCAGCATCCAGATTTAGGGTGGCGATGTTGACTGTAGCGACACAGCTCGGGCTACGAGGCTCCTTCTACTCTGGATCAATTTCTGCTGGAGAATCGGCCGCCACCACCGTCCTAGTCCTGGTCATACAGAAAACCCTTCACTCTGAACCCCGAAAGAACTCCAAGCCCTAGAATACCGGACGTCGCGCTACCAGGAACGAGAACAGAAGAGTAGAAACATCAAAGCAGGGACCGACCTCTGCGTCATCCGCCTCTGGGAGCGCGGCCTTTCTGGTGGCTTTTCGGAGGCTCGGGGTTGGGAGGCTTGGGGTTTCAGGGTGTCTTCAGGGACTTGAAAGTCTTTAGGGTCTTGAGGATCGGGTTATAATTAAGGTAACTATACTTATAAATACGTATAACCCCAATTAGGGTACTTATAACCCTACTTACTATCCTCTGTCTGATTGAGGGTTTTCGGGATCCAGGGATGTAGGCTTGCGGCATTTAGCTTTTGGCTCAAGGCTGACTTGGGCCGGATTGTTCCAGTGCAGCTTTAGGCTTCATGCGTTGGGAGTTATCCGGCAGCCCCTAAACCCTGAAACCTAAACCCTCAGCCCCTAAACCACTCGTGGCTGGAGAGCCATCAGGCCGAAGAACACAACAAACAAGCTGAAAGTATAGACCTTGACCCGATGCAACTGAAAGTGCCAATGCAACAAACCTCTCCAAGTTCCAATCCGAGTATAGTATCCGAGTCCCAATTCTTACAGCACATATACCCCAAACCCTAAACTCTAAACCCGGCCCGAAACCAAGTCCCCACATCTGGGCCTCGGAGGTTGAGGATGCAGATGCATCAATGGTCGAGAGATCCTCAGGGAACGGCAGATCCTGGCGAAAATCGGAACGTGAGACTTCTCTAAGCTCGGGTTGTAATGGTAGGAGCAAAGCAGTAGCTTACCATCCTGCGTCGCCAACACTGCATGCACCTAAACCCTTGCCCCTAAGCCCTCAACCCCTAAACCCCTAACCCCTACTCCCCGGACAACACAGTATGCAGCAGCACCGCGCACTGTATCGCAGCATACTCTGTACTCTGTCAAATCCCTAAAGCGCATAGCCACTGCAGAAGATTACAGTTTCTCTGAAAGTATATTATAGCTTTTCTATTCTGGAACATTAGTTCCTACTATGGTAAAGTATAGTTTCTTGTAAAGCATGTTATAGTACGTTAAGCTTTTCGAGGAAATGGAATGACGGCTACATTGACAGATTAATGGGAACAGCAGTAGTCTAAGAGAAGCTAGCGGCGACTGATACTAGGAGGTAGTTCGTAACCGTAACCATAAGTGGAAGAACAGGAACATAGGTCCTTCATGAAGTCAATATCATCTCGATATGAGCAGGGGTATGAGTCTTGTTCTCATCTGAAGACTGGTTACTCGCATTTCCACCTGCCCTGCCCAATGGCTCCTGGCTGAAAAACTCCGGAGGAGGCTCCTGGCAGGCAAATAACACTCATGTCCGGGCTCAACGGTTTTTCAACACTCCATGATACTCCATGCGTCTTGCCACACCCACTAAAACGAGCATTCCATTCAGAGCGGCCTTTGCACGGCGCTGTCCGTGTAAGAATCTGTAACTCGGAAACCAAGCCGCATGCCATCTAATCTTCGTCACCATCACCATCATCACCACCATTCCAACCTACCATCACACCATCACCGTTAGCATAGCAGCCATGGTATACTACATCATATCATGACATACCGAATCATCATCATCATCATCATCATCATCTTCCAGCCTGCAGGTCTGTCATCGCCGCCTCGAGCTCTCGAGCCGCAGCCTCTTCGCTGTCTTGCTGTAGCTTCAGGCTGTGGTACTGTAGTGTTTCGGGGTGAGGTTTAGGGGTCCATGCACCTGCACTGGAACGTGAAGGCTCGAAGATAGCCGCTCATGGCTTCAAGACGGAGCCGGATCCGGAACACAACTGACGGCGGCTCTACAGAAGGAACTTGCGGGGCAAACCCTCAGCCCTGAACACAGGCCGCCTGAACACCCGCGGTTGAACAGCAGATTACTCCGACACGCCTGCTAGGAATCTTGATATTAACTGCAATTCACGCCATTGTGCTGACTCTTCTTGGAACCGAACCCGAACTCCTGGCCTTTGCTGCTTGGCGAGTCCAGGCGGACAGGGACTTGACGCGGTTTGCCAGCCCTGGCAATTGAGAAAACTAAGAACAGGGAAACATGATCAACAAAAATGGAAGGAGCTGCCAAGAACAAGCACGTGCCGTTGACAAGATTGCGGTTTGGGGTTTGTTTTCCAAGCTTCAAGGTCTTGCATGAAATCTGGGGCAATGCGACTGCGTCATGTCGCCCCACAGCTTCGGGATTTAGGGCCTAAGGTTTAGTGAAGTTTAGGGGTTTAGGGCTCAGCGGTTTCGGGTTTTGGGGTTTGGGGTGCAGCACCGGTACCGAGGCCTGGCGTGCAACGGCTTGACAGACAGTGCGCCTGTGCTATACCCCCTTAGCACCATTAAAAAAAATGGTGTGTTAATATTCTTTTGGGTTTTATATGAACAAAAATACAAATTAATTCCCCAGGAGACTATAGTATGTGATTTATTTGGTGGCAGGGCCTGGCTTCGGCCTGCAAGATCCAACCTCAAGCCCAGAATCTCATTTCCAAAACCCAAGGCTGAAGGCTCAAAACGACACCCCTCCTTCCGTACACAAAAAAAGCCCAAGTTCAGATCGCAGCAGGAGTAGTACCGAGAACAGCAGGATTGCCTGAAACCCCCTAAGAATCCCGGAAAATCTACAGCCTAAACTCCTCAACCCTACGAAATCTTGCCTCCGCTTGGTGTGGTGCGACTCTCTGGTTGCTTCCTGGGCCGGCATTTCCAAGGGATCGCAGAGCTTCTGGGTTTTAGGCTGTAGCGCTTCTGATCTTGGGGTATGAAGATCTTACGGTTTTGGAGTTGTGAGGTTCGCTTCAAGAAACGAAGGCAGGAAGTCTTCTTCGGCTCAGAGCAACACAAGCATTCAAAGGATCTCCCCAAGGAGACCATAAACCCTAAACCCCTAAACCCTAAACCCTTCCTAAATTACATTATCGTAAAACACATACCCCCAAAACCCTGTTCTAACTATTAAGGCCCCTAAATGAAAAGTAGATGAAATTATAGTAGCCCTTATATAGAGCCCTCTAAAGGGAACCCTCGTCTACCTCTTAAGGCCCCTATATTCCTCGGGTTAAGGCGGCTCTCACGGCCTGGTGGTTTGGGCTAACTGCTCCTCCGACTTGCCAACTACCTGGGAGCTTTCCGAAAATTAGGGGTACCTCAGTTTTGGGTCTCTATAATAAGGATCCTGCTATTTTGGGGTACCTTAATTTGGGGTCCCTATAGAAAGGATCTTACTATTTAGGGTGCTATATCAGGGTCCCCCATTTTCGGAAACTCCCACCTGGCAACCTCAACCACGCTATCCCAGGTGCTGAGGGCTCTCGTCAGCCCAATCCGCATCGGATCTGTTCGGTAAAGCTTCGCGAAAGCCATGAGCTGCATGGTTTGAGGGTTTAGGGTTTGGGGTTCAGAGTTTAAGAAAATAGCCCTGAAGCCCCAAAGTACCTGGAGAAACAAAAGGTGCTGGGTGCCACTGTTGGGCGAGTGACTCCAATGTAAGCACCACAGGGCGGTTGGCCATGGCATTGTCGAACTCCTGGTTTGGATGTGCAGCTGTTTCTTGAAAGCAGTATGCACAAGAAGCTAAAGGAACATGCACCGTCCGCTTGTGTTGAAAATGGGATTCCCTGAGAGTTCCTGCCCCCGTGACTTCTGCCGGTAGGCGTGACAGCTCATCCTGCCAGGCTGTCCAACAAGGTATACATCGTCAACCCGACATATCAAGCCCAAGACAACTTAACAACCTTGCAGGTGCCCATCGAACATGAAACCATGGCTCACGGACTAAATGCTGACTGTCAAAAACGACGGCTGACAGATGCATGAGCACTCATTCTGTTCCCAAGCTTTTCAAAGCCATGCCTGCTGCGATACGACCTTGGCCCTCGATCCCGGGACTGAACCAAAAGCTTTACAAATCGAAGGCCGGAACCCTTGCGAAGTCTTCGAATGACCTTAGAGGCTACTGAAATCAAGAAACGTCGGTGGGCTTCCCTTAAACGTGACTACTGCTGCCGCTGCTGCTGCTGCCGCCACTGCCACTAGCACTACGGCTACTCATAGTACTACTAGACTACTGCTGCCGCTGCTGCTGCTGCTGCCGCCACTGCCACTAGCACTACGGCTACTCATAGTACTACTACCACCACCACCACCACCACCACCACCACCACCATGACGACGCCGACGATCACCACTGCTACTGCTTGCTACTGCTGCTGCGTGGTATGCGACCGCTGGCTCTCCTCCCACGACAAATTCCTCGCTGACCTGGGCAGTCATCGAAGATGTCTGGATTTGGGTTCGAGGTTTGTGGTGTCGGCTCGGGTTTATGGGCTTACTGCATAAGAGTTCCGGGGTTCACCGTGACGGTGTGTCAGTGTAAGAGTTAGCCTCCGAAGCCAGGCTTAAACTGAGAAGAACAACGGACCCGGTGCTCGTGCTTCGAACGGAATGAGCGTCAGGAAGAAACCTCTCCAACGCAACGAGGGCACGTGCAGAATGCTTGCAGGAAGGGTGCAGAGGAGGCTCGCTGAAATAGCATTTTGCATACTCATGATAGCCATAGCCGGGGACTCTGAAAAATTTCAGATCTCTCAGCTCGCGGCAGGCCGTTCACCGAGATCACCTGGCCGGGGACCCCCCGGTGAGGCTCAGAGGCGCCCTGGATTGTTGTTGCTGTGAAGTTGCCCACATGGGGAGCTCTCTAAGTTAGGGTCCCTTTTTCTGAGGGTGCCGCACTATATTTAGGATCTAAAAAGGGGGCCGTACTTGAGAGAACTAGGCACATGATGGAAACTGGAAGCAGGGAGCCTCGTCCCCGGCCGCCAGAGCTGTCCGTTGCGGCGCCACGTTGAGGACAACTTTGGCTGTGCCACTCCTCTTCGGGGCTCAAGGTATGCATTCACTTGTGCTGCGGCTACTATTGCTACGACTGTCAGTACGATGACGATGATGATGATGGTGATGATCGAAGATGATGACGGTGATGATGGTGATGTTGGTCATGATGGTCATGACAGTCAACATGACGATAGATGACTCGGCTAGTTTTTTGCGGAATGCAGCATGAGGAGATGACTCCGACTGTCTATGACTGCTATGACTGCTGCAATAACTTGTGCACTTCTGATGCTGCTGGCGATGCATGATGCTTGTGCTCGTGATCGTGATGGCAACGGTTATAGCTACTCGTCTTTTGACAAAAAATTGGGCTGGGTTGCCGGGCTGGGCGGTTCGTAAAGCCGGAGAGCTAGGTTGTTCGCTCCACTGAACAAGGGATGCCAAAGCGTTGTGGCTTCGTGCACCGATCCCCTCGTCCAGGTCTGCCAAGGCAGTGAACTGTCCAGAGTGGCTGACAAATTGTCGACCTGTAGGTTCATGTTATGGGGAAATGAGATAGTGTATTGATGTCCTAACGATGCTGGTTTTTTGACCGCCAATGCCGCCACCACTTCATCATCATCATCATCATCAGCAGCAACAGCAACATCGTCAGCATAACAGTCCCCATCACCATGACGAAGTATCATCACCGTCATCACCAGCCAAGATCACCATCATTACCAGAACCATCATCATACTCTTCATCATCCATCACAATCTTTTTTTTCTTCCACCGCAGCAAGATGCGTCCCGTGTCTTGCTAGCGAGTGCCGATACAGTACTGAGCTATTGTCAGTACCGGCCAATGGTATGGCTGGCACGAATGCCCATAAGGCATGAGGGAACACGGCGCCGTAGCGCCCTTCGGTGCTTTGCACCACTCGCCTGAGTTACTACCCGATGGCTTAGTCATCTAGGGTGTCGAGATACCGAATCTTCACGATGCGAGCCTTGTTGATCACGCGATTGCCGTACAAGTAACTGTGGCGATTCACCAGCAGCTGAAGAGAGTGCATCTGAGCCTGGATGTTGTCCACATGCCGTTGCATCACCATCATCTGCGCCTCGAGCTCTTTGAGCTGAAATTCCATCAGACTCAAGTGAGCCGCAGTCCAGTTGTCGCCGTACTTGTGGAGCAAGAAGATGTTGTTCTGGTCCGACATGGGGCCGATCACAAGCTTGAGCTGGGAGGTGCTGCACTGGGTGAGCGGCTGTTGGCGTGTAGACTAGTATGTAGGCATTCCTAGAAGCAAGATCCATGAAGTCTGCTGATGCATGCGTCACTGTTTTGGCGTCATCAAGCACGTGGTGATGACCGTGGGTCCCCGAGAATCTCAGAACATTGTAGTGTCCTGAGGTGAGCCAGAGCCCATGATGTATCACGCTGGCTTGCAAACGATAAGGCTGCCACTGTACCTGAAGTGTGTCATTCGTGACAAAAACCGGCATCCAGAGCTCCTGAGCAAAGATGATTGGATGATTATTCTTTGCTACAAGTCTTCCTGCAGCAGCACTGCTACGAGGAAGCTGGATGAAGAGCCAGGGAACCGCACTGTTCATTGCATGAAGTGCTTCCTGAAGATGCCACCTGGTTATGAGCCGTTGTATGTCCGGGGAATCAAGTGCAAGATTGCTCAGGTTCAGGCACCTGGCAAGATTGGCACCATCTGTGCACTGCACCCCGCCTGTATCAGGATGCTGCCTACGCGCTTCCCAGGAATGAGAGGCAAGGAAGGGGCACCATTTGGGCACAAGAAAGTCGAAGAACTCTGCTGCATCATGCTGGTCGTGTGGCCTCCGCCACCCCAGGAGGCCAAACCCCGCGGCTTTGAAGGCACTCAGTGGCCTGTCACAAGTGCTGGCAAATGAGGCTGGTAGTGCCTTGTGCTGAGAGCATTGCTCTAGGACCGCGAGGCAGTACATACAAGCATTCATGTAGCAGTGATTACCCGGGTTAAGGAGGGAGAAACGGGGCAAAGCAAGATCAGTAAGTCTAGAGGTGCCTAGTGCCTCCCTCGTACACGGGGGTGAAGAAAGTGCAGGCCTCCGCCGTATGTCAGCTGAGCCAGCTGCTTCGCCTGTGGCGTCCGAAGGAGATCGTCTTTCTTCATGTTGAAGGCTGCAAGTTGAGTGATCGATGATCCCACCAGTTTGCAGAGCTGCTCGTGGACCTCCGTTGCCCCCGAACCACGTAACGAGATCGCGAGATGGAACACTGCCTGCTGGGAGCCCTCTTCTTCCAGTCTTGCCAGATTGATCGTACTGTTGAATTTTGTCACTATGTCCCCCGTGATGGACTTCTGGAGTTCGGACAGAATGCGCACGGCCTCGTCGTGCAGAAGCGGCTCCTTGTTTTCGTCGACCACGAGGCGTTTTTGCTTCGGGGCCCAACGGAGATAGGACCATAGAGTCTCGTCCTTCAGCCACTCGGCTTTCTTGAGTGACTCCCGGCCGGAAGCTGTTGCCACGACCCTCTGCACACGAGCCAGAAGCTCCCGAAGGAGACAATTCAACAAGACGGTTCTCTGGGATGATGGAAGGTTCTCGCCCGCATCCTGTTTGCTCTTCCACTCTTTCGAGGCTGCCATCAAAGCCGGCAGAAGCGACTTGTCGTCCTGCCGCATAAACAGGACGAACTGTGTGTCTTTGCGGAAAAGCGAAAGCTGTTCCTCCTGTTTCAGGACAATCTTGCTCAACAGGCGAAGATGGCCGTCCTGTGGTGGCTGGGCCCCAAAAGGCACTGAGGCTGCGTGAGGCTGCTGGAACGGATTGGCCGAGTAGGATGGTTGAGGTTGTCTGAAGCCCTGACGTCCCATCATTCGACCGAACTGCTTCCCCTGTTCCGGTCGCTGCCTCTTGTTGGGCAGGTTTTGGCCGTCCGGAAGCTGAAGAAGTGCCTGAGCCCTGGAGGGCATGCAGTGAGCAAAGATCTCCGCCTCGAAGTCTGTCATCTTTGCACTGTTGTTCAGTCCGGCTCACGGCTACAGCAAGACAGAGTTGATGCAGGACCGAGCACTGCACGACGTGCCTGCAAGGAGCCCCTACGTTGCTTCCACAGTATCTGCAACTGCGATTACGAGTGAAGTGGCCTTTGAAGGGGAGGCAAAGCTTGTGGGCATCCGAGAGGGCATTGGGAAAGTCTTGCAGGTGCGTGCGCCTAATGTGCTGTTTGATGTGCTTTGTATCAGCGATCCACATGCCACAGATGACACAATGGCTCCTGAGCCGATGTCTGGAGTGGCGATCATCCAAGAACTTCTCCCAGTTATGCAAGTTGTCAAGGAAACTGCTCTGCTTGATGAGTGGTATATCTGTGTCCTCTTTTGGCGCGGTCTCCGGTCCGGCTGTAGAAGAGTCGACAGTAGGCACATTGCCCTCTGTGTCAGCTATTGAAAGTCTGGCAGGCTGGGCCATCGCTAAGTTAGAATCCGGGACAGGGCTGAGGATGTGACTAGAACCACCTAATTGAGGGCAGGATCCATTGGTGATATGCAGTTTCAGCTGCTGCCACTTTGGAAAATTACGGCCACAAAGCTTGCATGTAGGAAGCCCTCCGACAGCATGGTCAGGAGCTGAGAAGACAGGTCTTTGGCGCGTATCCTCAGGGGGCTCCAGATCTGGGTGCTTGATAGAGTGGTGGATGACTCTAGCATGGGCAGTCGGGAACGTTTGATCACAGTGTTGACATGCAAAGAGGCTGGGGTCGCAGAGCTCCTGCTCCGCCTGTAGCGCCTGCGTCTGCATGGCCTTGATCTGACCTTCGAGCCGTCCAAAGAGTGAAGTAAGCTGCGAGACTACAACACCGTTCCAGACAAGGTCTGGGCCATATGGTGCCACGGCAGGGTCCCTGCGCTGACACAGGTGACGGAGTCGCGAAAGCAGGGAAGCTTCTGGAGGAGGCAAGCTCGCCTGGGCCCACACCTCTGAGGTGGGAGTCCTGGTGAGATGTGCAGGCAGCCTCAGGATGGCTCGTAGGTGTCGGGTGGTTAAGGTCTTAAGGCGTTGTAGGCCTGTCACTGTGCATCCGGTGGCTTCCAAGGAGTAGAGAAGACAGGGAGGAATGCACGCCTGCCAAAGGCGTAATCGGTGCCTAGTGCTGATAGGGCCTTTCCCATTCAAGACTTTCCGGATTTGCTGGTACCTGGCCTGGGCTGCCGAAATCCGGTGGCTGAGGTTGAGGTCCTTTCGTCCCTGATATGCAATGATGGTGCCTAGATATGTGTGAGAGTCTCTGATGCGGATAAGACGTTCAGATCCCCCGACTTCTAGAATCAGGAAGGTTTCCCCGGCCTTGATGATGGTGTGCTTCGCCAGTAATTTCCGAGCGGCTTTTCCTTTCAGATGCAGGAGAAGGGCCGTTTTCTTAAGATTGATCTTGAGCTGAAACAGCTCGAGGGTTTCAATCAGCAGGGAAAGGTCAGCGAGCACTCGCCTGAAGTCTTCGGGGCTACGTATATCCCAACATCCACAGATATCATCAGCAAAAAAGGAGAGGATTTTCTGTACCCAGCTAAGACTGCGAAACCTGATAAGGTGCTCAAGAATTTGGATGGTGAGGCTGACCCAAAGGGTCGGAGCAGCCCGGCATCCTTGTTTGATACCGTTTGAGGTGATGACGCTGCCTGTTTGGGTTTGGTTGCGAAAGACATACCTCGCTCCTCTGTGTAATTGTTGCACAGCATTGATCAGTACTCCTGGAACCCGGTGGTCGACGAGTGATTGGATCAAAAGGTCTCTGCTCACCATATCAAAAGCACTCGTGAGATCCAGAGAGAAGCAAGCCCCGCCGTAGCAGGTGAGCGGCACAACATTTTGATGCATCTTAAATCTGGTCTGAACCTGGCTTTGCATCAGAAGCTCAATCTCTTCGAAATGCTGGTGAACCCTCAGTATAGCATCCCCACAGCCTCTACCATCGCAGTATGCAAATTGGGGGAGGTGATCCAAGTGTGGCCGAAGATGCAAAAGGATTTGTTTAGCAACAACGCCCGCGAAGGATTTAGCACACGGTGGCATTAACCCTATCGGTCTTAGGGCAGTCATAGAGGTGGGGGGCTTAGAAGGTTTAGTGATCCAGCACACGTGTGCGTCCTGCATGTCGCCCTGGAGTAGAGCCGTGGAGTCCGGAGCGAAGTGAGCTTCGAAGCACGGACCTAGGCGGTGGCTCACGTCTGCTGAGCAGAGCCTCCACACTGCATTGGGGGCTATGTGCCTTGGCACGGCTTTGCGGATGTTGAGCCGGTCCAGCTCCGCCTGGAGGTTATCAGCAGTAAAGCGGAGATCCCCTGTTTTGGCATGCCAGGGCTGTGTGTCTGGGGTTGCAGCGAAGAGTGCTTGGCTGTGCTTGATGATGGCCTGCATTTCAGCGGTACTATCCAGTAGTCTGCCCTCTGAGTCTTGGAGCCTCGAAACCCCTGCTGCCGTGCGCGGTCCCAGTCGCCTTGCGACCAGGAACAGGCCTCGGAGATCGCCCTTGCTGGCTGCCGTCTCTGCCTGCCATAATTGGTCGTCCAAGAACTGGCGTTTGAGTGCTTTACTCTGCTGCCGGAGTTGTGCAGAGGCTTTCGTGAAGGCTGCAAAGAGTCGCCATCTAGACCAAATGTTTTTAAGGGAGGGCAGACCAGACTGCCGAAGACGACGGTGCAATTGCCAGGTATCGCGCGCGGATGCACGGAAAGACGGATTGGCACTGACTCTGCCGTCTACTGGTTTGCAGGGTGGGAAGATTGCGCAGGTTTCTTCGAGAAGGATGGCATTAATCCTGTCGTGTTCAATCCCGAGGGCCTCCGGAGCAGACAGGCGCCCGAGCCGGCGTTGCACAGCCTGTTGCAGGAGCTGGGCTTCCGGGGTATTATGTGCCACCGCATGCTGGAGAGCCGAGGCTTGAAACTTATGTTCTGGCTTCTGACAACGGGGGCGGAAGCTCATGGGAAGCATCGGGACAGTGGCTACCACCGGTCTATGGTTTGTGAGCCTGTAAGCTCCCACAGGGAACTCATGCAATGGGGCCGCTAGCTTAGCTTTGTGGCTCGCATCGGTGCATCGTAGGATCACATAATCAATTTGACTTTTGACCGTGGGGGAGACAAATGTGTGTGCCGGCCTCGCGTGCCAAGAATTCAGTGCACAAAGGTTGCATTCCCTAAGGAGGGTTTGGAATTCTCTGTCTGAATTGTTATGGGACGCTGGGTCGGGAGCAGCAGGACCCACATGGGGCCGCTGAGGATGCAGGGTGGCATTCATGTCGCCTGCAATTATGAGCTGATGCCTTGCAGGCGTGCTAGTGACCACCTGTTGAACCTGATGCCAGATGGAGCTGCGAAGTTCGCGGTTTTTCTGGGAGCTGAGGTGGGGCCTCCAAACGTGCTGATATACTCCAAGGATGCATGCAGGCAGCTGGCTGTGATTGTGTGTCGCTGTAACCTGGAGCAATCGACCAGGGGAGTGCTCCTTCACTCGTGGCTCAGAAAAACACTTGCTGGAAAGCAAACACAGAATGCCAGCATAGCGATCAGGATCACTGCCCTCCTTGTATCCCGAGCTATGTATACACAGCCAGTGACCACTACGGTAGTCCTGAACCTCCCGCCAGTGGGTTTCAACAAGGATAATGGCATCGTAGGCTTCAGCAGGTGCACGTGTCTCGCACCATGCCAGAAATTCTTGCATTAGGTTAGAGGCAAGTCCCCCCGCATGCCAGCACAGAACCCTAATGTGATGCTCTGGCCTGTGGGGCCGACGTCCAGTATTTCTTCGGGACCTGGGCTGCAGGGATGTCGGAATGCTCTGACCCGTGGGGATCCTAATGGCATTGAGATCTGCACTTGTGTGCCATCTGCCCTTGTACCAGGTGCCACCCTGAATGGCACGACCAGCTCTGTTGCAGGCTCTGCGGTAAGATCGTTTAACAGTGCGAGTGAAATGGTGTTCCCTGCCTTGATGCACTGTGCCGCTTGGCTTCCCCGCAGAAGCGGGTCCCTCCTCCATCGCGGCTTTGGAGGAAACCCTCGCTCCAGCAGTAGCTTGGATTAGAACCCAAAACATAGGATTACGAAGTCTACTGCTCCCGGCATTGGGACCGGGACGGCCTAAGGTCTGGGTGGGGTGCCTAAAGGAGTCGATGTCGGTAGTGTTCTTCGGGAGTCGGGGCCTAAGCAGGTTATGAACCGTATGGGAGTTTCCGAGGGATGGCTCTCTGCTGGTCGGTCCTGCTTGTTGATCTTGGTGCGCTCCCATCGGGGAGAAGACGAAGACGAAGGCACCAGCAGTATGTCGCTGCCATGCCCTGCGATTTGGGAGGGGTGGGAGATCTATATACCACTTAGGGGGCCTACGGAGGAACTGACGGATGGGGTGATGTGGCCTTTGGAAGGCCGCAGCTCGCATGAGTCGTGGTCGCCAGAAGCCCCTAGCCGATGCCAGAAGGCGACAATGACCTTCCATATGTGGAGCAAGGCGAGGTCTACCGGGAGAGGACCTAGAACCCAAGGAAACCAAAGTGTGGGACTGGCCTGCTGGGTGCACAGAGAAGCCAGTGCCACAGAGATTAGCTACTAGAGCGACTTCGGTGTCGGCGTCGCGGTCGACGTTCATGTGTGGCCTCGAACTCATAGGTCGACCATTCCCGAGCTCTGTCCCCCGTGAGGCGGGTCCGGGCCAGTGCTTGGACTTCGGTCCATTTGGCCCGACCGAGGCGCCGCTTGAGCGCCCCCACTTGTGCAGCGAGGGATCTTGTCGTGAGCTCACTGCCTGCAGCTTCCGCCTTTTCCTGAATTTCTCTCCGGTACAGAGAGCAGAGATGCTCTCGAGAGTCGGAGAGGCTTTCATCCTCCAGGATGAGGGAAGTTTCAGACCAAGTGAGGCTTTCGTCATCTCCATCATCTCGTGCAGCTGCAGCCACTGGGTGGCCGTCTCCGACAGTGTCCCGACCCGGGTGGTCGTCACCTGGAAGGTCATCGTCATCTTCATTGTCGTCGTCATCAGTCGAGCTGCTGCTGCTGCTTTCGGTGGGGTCAGCGAAGCGTCCTGATGGTAGCAGAGGTCCTGCCACTCTTGCCACACGCCTGGTGCCATCTGCCTCCAGGATGACCACTGGTTGTGGTCCTGCTGGGTGATCATGCTCCCATCGTGATGCATGCTCGCCTGGGTCATCATGTCCGCTTCGAGGATTGCCCGACGATGCAGATACTGCGACGGTTGCCCCTGGGGGTAGATTGACTGGCTGCGGCGGCGGTGGGCCGCCAGGCTGTGCAGAGAGCATAGGAGCAGGAGGAGGCCCGTGGCTGTGATCCCAAGGAGTAAGCTCCACCGGGTCCTCCCAGCTTTCATCTGCTTCACTCGATTCCCCTGTGCCATGGCTCATTCACTTAGTTCACCGAAGGCAAAAGAGGAACACGCACCCGGCCCCGAACAACAAACAACCGCGAAGAACACACGGGCACTCCGTTTGGGCCGAGGAGCTTATCCATCACAATCATCATCATCATCGTCATTATCAGCATCATCCTGGCCTTCCATCAAAGCCAGCCAACACCCTCAATCACGACAGCATACATAACACCCCTGTATGTTGACTAACCGCAGCTGACTCGACCGGACTCGACTGCAAAACCCAGCAAGTTAGCCAATCTCCTGTCGAACTCGAGGCCCAATGGTCCATCGTCCTGCAGAGAGCTCCCATGTTCCAGGCATGGCACATTTCAGTAATCGTCATCGCAATAGTCGTCAAACATGAGACCAACAGGTCTTAGTCCTACTAGCAGCATCGGCCATAGCCTTGGTACGAGTACCCGTAGTCAAAGCTGAGCTAACGCCTTGAGATCGTCCTGAGAGAGAAGCAGAAGGTCGTCAGCAGCATCAAGACAGTCCCATAATCCATCGTTGGCAGCACCATCATTTTGATTGCCATCTCAACATCATCAGAAGCAATGTGCTTCTTGAAGTTGTCCCTACAGCGCAATCAGGATTGTTGCACGAGCGCGAAACCGTAGCTTTCTGAGGCGGCATATAGTGAAAAACACCCTCCATCAGCAACACTGTCACCAGCGGCAGCAACACGAACATAATCAGAAGTCTCCATAACGGTGCGGTTTCATCCAATCTGTCTCAGGCATCTGTCGTGCATGGATGCATCGAGTTTAACCTCTCATGCCTGAGCTAGCATCAAGCAATGCGACGGTCGAAGGGCCTCAGACAAGGGAAGCCGAGCATTGGTTTACACCAACACCCTTCGGATCCCTCCGCTCCTCCAACACCACAGGCGCTGCAGCCTCGACGGGCAGAGACGCCTGCAGAGACGCCTGGTCCAGACAGCAGGATGTCGAGCTTGCCGGCGTACAGTAGAAGCCAGAAAGTTGGAATATGATTATCGTAACCCCTTTAAGGTAAATTATAGGGGATCCTACCACTAATCCATATTCCAACTTTCTGGAGTTTCCCTTTAAAGGGGTTTTTGGGATCTTCGGCTCCGGATTTTCAGAACCTGCGGCAGCTACCTTCATGCTCGGCAACATAGACATGGGCAGTGAGTCACGTGCAGAATCTTGAAGCCGCAAACTATGCCCCCGGTGGCCTCAACGACGGCTCCCCCTTCCCGATGAAATCGATGAAATCATGCCAAGATCCGGGTGACACACCATAATACCGTACTATGATGTGCTATGCAATGTTCTACTATAAGCTTCCCTGGGCGCGGAGGCGCCAACATCATGCTAACATAGGGGGCCTTCATAGCAAGAATAGGGTTTTGATGTTTTAATACACAGTAATATGCTATAATTGTAAGAAGGAACCCCAAATGGTAGTCCTTAGAGTTTAGGCCCCGAAATCCGAGTGCACACCCAACTATGAGAAAGATGCCCACTTGCATAAGCCGCCATCCCGACACTTCCAAATCCGATACTCCAACGCCTCCAGAACGGCAAACCTAAACCCACACATCCAAGTCTCGGAATCCTGGCCTTAATGCTGAAACTGCAAACCAGCACCAAAAACTCCACAAGCCCACAAGCCCGAAAAAAGCCCAAAGCCTAAACCCGCATAGTCACAGTAACCTCACTGGAACCTTTATGGAACCCTAAACCCGAAACCCTAAACCCTTTTGAAGGAGCTTTGAAGCCTCTGAAGCTTCCGCGTCCGCCGGTCGCGCCGCGGCCGCGGCCGAGGCGGCGGCGCGGAGCAGTGCCAGCTCGGCATCCCTCTGCTTGATCCTTGGGGTTTTGGGGCGCTTTGGGGTTTAGGATTTGAAGTTCCCGTCAAGCTACTGGATCCTCGGATTTTGGGGGGGTTTGGGGTTTAGGATTGAGGGTTTAGGGCTTCGAGCTTGGGTTGGGTTATTGTGGGTCTCCGGGCTTTAGGGCAGTAGAGGCCTGAGGATCCTTTCAGCTTCGGGCTCAGGATCTCTGGCTGTTGAAAGTCTAGGGCTTCTGTGGTTTAGGGTTTAGGGTTTAGAGTTTAGGGTTTAGGGTTTAGGGTTTAGGGTGCATGTTTGCTCCAATTGTTTCGGGCTTTGGGGATCGGTCCTGGAAGCATCAGGGTCTGACCTGGCACCTCTAGATTAAGCTTGCGATACTGCTTGCGTTGAGATTTCCTGTTAAGGGTCGCTGTGCGGGTTGCACTGGGTTGCAACCAACCACAAGCTGCAAGTTTAGGCTTTTCAGAACACTTGGCAATTGCAGCCGAATCCTCTCAAAACCCACATAAGAACCCTAACCCTGGACCAATAAGCTCTAAACCTGAACCCTGAAAAACCTTTAACCCGAAACAAGAAAGACTCCCGGTCTAGAAGAGCCACTCGCCCAAAAGGCCCTCAGCGAGACGGAGCTGCTGCGCCTGGAGGCCGGATGCTTCGATTCGGTGTTATTTAAGGTTGCAGGTTTAAAGTCTGAGGTTTAGGGTGTAGGGTTCAGGGTTTACGATTGAAGGGCTTATGGATTTAGTTGGTTTAGGGATGTCTAAAGCTTGGGGTTTAGGTCTTTTCGGTTTACTAACAAAGCCTTTGTGGGTTTAGGGCTTGAGCTTCTGAGGCCCTGTGGTCTGGCGGGGTTGGTCCTAAACCCAAAGCCAAAGCCCAGCAGGCGGAAGACGATGGATACCAGATTAGGGTTTTTTTGTTTTAAGGTGCAGTGGCTCTTTCTCCGCTGGCTGCAAGTCCGGATGCCTGCCTCGAGGCGAGGCGTACACCGACAGAAGAGATTAGGGTTTAGGGCTTAGGGTTCAGGATTTAGGGCCTTTAGGGGTTTAGGGTTTCGGGCCTTTGGGGGTTTAGGGTCTATAGGGCCTTTGGAGCCTTTAAGGGCCTTTAGGGCTTAGGCCCTTTAGGGGTTTAGGGCCATGGGACTTAGCAACTAGGGTTATAATTAGGGTAACTATACATATAACCCCAATTAAGGTACTTATCATCTTATTTACTAAGTCCCATGATCCTCCAAGTACAACCCTAAACCCTAAGCCCTAAACCCTAAACCCTAAAGGGCCGTTGGGGCCCTCAAGAATTCGGGGCTTAGGGGGCCCTTGCACCCAAGATCCGCCAGAGGCGCCTGGATACCTGCGATCTTCGTCTCGGCCTCTGCCAGCGACTGCCGGAGACGCTGGGCCTCTGAAGCGGGGTTGAATTAGAAGAGGGCTTGGGGAGATATTATAAGTATAATTTTTATAGTTATGATAAGGAACCATATTATGGAATCCGGGTATATTATATTTTCGTTATGATAAGGAACCCCCCAAAAACCTATTCTAATTATAGTATAGGCCCTGCAGGGGGGCTTCGCTTCCGATCCCGAGGATTTCTTGTGCAAGTGTGGGGTTGGAAAGTGACTGGTGACTGGGGCTAGGGAGTTGAGTTCTGCGAAATCACCCGGGCTTCCCAAGGACCCCGGCTTGAGCTTCCTGGGAAGTTCCTTTGCCAAGAAGCACCTAAACACTTCGGCCAAAAACCAAAGAGCGGCCTCCATCTCCGCAGCTCGTGCTCGCCTCAGCGCAGCAGGCAGCTGTTCGGCCAAAGCCTGTCGTCGTGGCCGGGCTGTAGCAGCTTCGGGGTCAAATCAGAGGGCACCTTTTACGACGGACAGTACCAAGCTGTAGTTGGTGGACAGGGCGGTTCAAGGCCGAGAGCTCTGCAAGACGAGGTGGGCATTTCTGCAGTCACTACGGGGCACTTCTGTGACTTTGGACTTCTACAACCTTCCTCTTCACACAGAGCATGCCAGGCTCGGGGATCGCCCTCAACCCATTCAGAGTAGTGAATCGAGTTTCCCAGCAACCGTGGGCCGAGCGGCATCACATCCTCCACCCTTCAGATGAACCCTGGGGTGCCTTGTTGGTGATCTTAAATTCACTTTGACTCCTGCCAAAAAGCCGAAACGCAGACCAATAAAAACACCGCAGGCCCGAAGCTCGCCCGACCCAACATGCTGCTCCCCACCGGTGCGAAACCCCTAAGCGCTCTAACCCCAGATCCCATGGCAGCTAACCCAAAACCTGAGGTAACCTACTCTTGAAAACTCCACACTCCAAAGCCCAAAGGCCGCAAGCTGAAGCTCTCAATCGCCGACATCTTTATGACCCCCGTCACCGTGGAGGCTGCTGCGGCACGGCTCAGGAGTTCGGCCGCGGCATGTGCCTCACTGGGGCTCTGGGTTCTCTGGACGTTCTGCGTATGTGTGTAGTGTTTAGAGCTGTTGAAAGTTGTTGGGATCTTTTTTTGCTAGGACTTTGAATCTTTGCGGGGGTTTGTGGCCGTTCGGGGAGGGTGGAGCTTGGCAGGCTTTCCGTTTTGGAGGGGTGGTTTGCGGTTTCAGGGCTGACGGGTTTGACGGCTCGGAGAGTCAGGAAGTTAGACTGCAGGAATCTCAGCAGAAGCCCAACCATCATACATCCTTCACCAACACTCTAAGCGCGGCCTAAGGCTGATCCAGAGCCTCGAGACATAAGTGCGACAAGCCCTGCACCACCATAAACCCCCGGACCGCAAGGCCTGAAAGAATTCAAAGCTCCAGCGCCTCCTTCTCGGCCTCATCTTCGGGGTCTGCGATCATCTCCTGCTCTCCCGCTCTGGACATGTAAACAGCTACTTGTAACTGGCTAGACAAACAGGTACATAGATAGATTGATGAAGGGATGCATGCATGCATGTCGGTATACTCGGTATCTATAGCACAGGGGTACATGCATGCATAAGTACCTGAACAGACGCATCCGTCCATCCATCCGTCCGTCCATCCATCCGTCCATAATTCCATCCATCCATCCAGCCATCCAGCCATCCATCCGTCCATCCATCCATCCAGCCATCCATCCATGCATCCAACCATCCATCCGTCCCTCTGTCCGTCCGTCAGTCCGTCCATCCATCCATCTATGCATGAATACATCCACGCATGCTTGTGGCAAGTGGGACTTTTGAGGCTTGCCATGGCTTTCGTCGACCAAGTGTAGGCATAAGCTCTCTGCTGCAAGTCACGTGACAGAAACAATTGTTGACTCTGAAGTTGACTCTAGTTTTGCAGCTGCAGATGAAGGGTGCGGGCACTCTTCAAGCCCCTTCCCCACCTGCAAAGAAGGCAAGGACGACTCCTGGCGTTTCGATGATCAAGCAGAGCTCGCGGCATGAACAAGAAGGTTTGGGGTTGCTCTCAATCCTGCCCTTCCTTAAGGTTTACAGTGTGGCTTAGGGTCGAAGGTTTGGAAAGGCGTCGGGCTCAGAGGTTTCCTGCCGGGGGCAGAAGCATGTTCTTTCGACATTCAAACTTCCGGACATGAATTTTCCGAAGGCACACTCGCTCGGCCGCACACAACTGGTCTGGGAGAAACGACAACTCAATGATGCTAATGATGAGGACTGCAGCATCGCTCGAAAACGACGAACACCCCAGAACCGCGTCCACCTCGGTTGCACCTGCACGTTTCAAGACTTCGGGTGGCTGCTCCTGCTGATGGTAGATTCGGTCAAAAAGCCCTAGGCGCTATGCATCGCTATGCATCCGCTGCATCAGAGCAGCGAGGGCTGGCCCCGCAAGCGTCTACTATTCCTTTCAGCCCTATGAGACTGTGAAAGTCCTGTCAGAGCACCAGTCCTCCTCCTCCTGCTCCTCCGGCGGAGCTCCTCCTCGTGTCTCTTCCTCATCTTCCTCATCATCATCAACATCATCGGCGGTACGATCTCGCGACCCCTAGCGATCACGATCACCATTGCTTGCACCGGAGTCATCAACCTCATGATTACCGTCCAAGTGGTCTTTCCCGTCACCACCACCACCACCATCATCATCATCGCAACTGCTTGCATCAAGACCATCCCCAAAAGGCGTAGCAACGCTGTCCTGAACTCGACCCGAGAAGGCCAAAAAAACCGAGCTGCAGGGGCATAGGAGACCCTGAATCTGAACACGCAGAGGTCACCCGGATCAAAGCTTGCAACCTACTTAAAGGATCATGGACGTAGTAACTAGGATTATAATTAGGGTAACTAGACTTATAACCCCAATTAAGGTACAAATAACCTTACTTACTAAGTCCCATGATTCTCCAAGTACAACCCCTACCATCCCCTACCCCACTACCTGGTACTTCAAAGCCAAAGCGTGCACGAGTCGAAAAACATCAGAGGATGCCTGAGCTGAAGCATCCGCTACCGGTCCAGCTGCGCCTTGAGCTCCTCATGGGAGTTCAGGTCTTCTACGGAGGGCTGTCATTCTGAAAAAGCACGTCTGTTTAGTGTATGTGTATATATATATATATGTATATGTATACATGTAGAGAGAGATGTACAGATATATGTATAGAGATATTAACATGATATATACATATATATATATATATATATATATATACCTGGTCTCCACCCTGGTGATCCGCCAGGAGGTGCAGCAGAACATCCAGAGGCAGGACACCGGGTTCATGGTGTTTGTCCAGACACAGTTGCCGGACAACCTGGCCCAGTCGATGTTTCAGATTGGCAAGACCTGGCACGAGACCAAGCGGGACAACCCCACGGCCCTCCGACATCCGATGAGAGTCACCCTGTACCAGCACTTCATCTGCACGATCAAGGAAAGGTTTCAGGCCATGATGGGGACACCTTCGTCAAGATCCAGAGCGGAGAGCCTGGGCTGGATCTGCAGCTGCGGCCGGGAAGTCCACGGCTTGAAGTGGGATACCACTCAGCAGGCACATGTGAGGGACGAGACGGTCGAGAGCCTGAATATCAGGGACATCGAGGAGGCCCTGGACGAGCTCCTGGTCCGTGCGCCCCAACAGCTTGTCACCCAGCGATTTCATGCGACACGCCAATTGGCAGCAGACTACCAGTCCCCGGTGATCAGCATGTTCCTGGAGGTGGGAATGAGAACCGAGGCTGCCCAATCCACGTGGAGGATGCTACACCTCTTGGCGAGGTCCGCGGTTTGGGCTTCAGGAGGGTGCTTCCTTCGTCACGAACGTCTGCAGATGAGTGCACTGGCCAAGCGTCTCTCAACATTGATGCCGTGAAGCGCATCCAGCTGGGGAACAAGCATTGCTTCTGCTATGCGAATGCATTAATGTTCAGTTTCATGTATCTTGACAGGCACCTGGATAGCCCCTCCATCTTCCAAGGGGAGATTACTCAACTTGTAGAGGACATCCTCCAGGCTGCTGGCCAGGTCTTTCATCTTTGGGATCGAGGGGAGTGGATCTCTATGATGGCCTCGTGGACAAACCCCACACGTCAACATGATGTTGCGGAGTTCCTCGGTTAGTGCCCGGGGATGAACTTTCAACAGGTAGCACTTTCCTGGCATGCCAGGTCTTTGGAGGCAGACGGCAGTATTCCCATCCTCGATATAGGGCATTCGATTCCTCTGATCCTTGTGCCCCCCTGCACTTACGATCGTGATCTCACCACCACGTGTACTGTTCAGGATCTTGTGGGAGCCTGGCATAAACAGGATGAGATACATGCTGCCTGGGAAACTCCTCCTGTAGATTTCATTACGACAGTCAGGCCGGCCACTCAAACGCAGGTATAATGTGATTCCGAGCCCTGTGATCGAGCTTCCTGTGTTTACCCGTGGCCTGCACTGTCGTCGTGAACTTTTGCGCCTCAATTCTGTGGTGCTGCACTTGGGCGATGCCCCAACTCACGGTCACTATAGAACCCTGCTCTACGATTATGTTGAATCCCAGTACTGGTTAACTGATGATGTTGAGGCGGTTCGTATTTCTGATTCTGCTATCAGCTCCTATTTATCTGATGTGTATCTCTTTGTATATACGAAGTGACCGGCCCTGCTCCAGGGCATTGGTGCCGAGGGCAAGAGTTGCCCTATGTTCCAGGGGTTCTCGAACTTTTGGGTGTGGGGGAGGATGTGTCATACACAGCTTTGCATTAGCGGTAGCCGAGTCACGAACTCTGCAACGCGGAAAGTGCGAAAGCAACATGATATATAGCCTTCGTGACTATGAACTTATGGTATCCCCGGCATGGAGTAGGAGCAAAGGCAGGAATTATCGTGCCGCGTGTGGTCTATCCTGAATAAGCGAGAAATACAAGCCCTGGTCAACAGTCCGTCTCACTCTTGCCGGCAGTCAACCGCCTTGTGCATTCCCTCCATCAACGATGAAGACTTACGATCTGGCTTCTGTTCGGGTGCTCGGAGCGTTCCCTACGTCCAAGGACGGAAATAGCTTTGAGTTCAAAGGTTCTTGTAGAATTTCTAAACTCAGATGGCTTCACGTTGAGGTTGCGACTAATTCTGGCTCTCGATTGGGACCAGGAAAGTGCTTGTCTTGTTGTGAATCACAGCTGAGCTTTCATTCTGGACTCCAGATACTATTTTCAAGCTTTCCCAACCCTCGAATGATCTGCAAATTTGAAAGGGAACCGCTGGACAAGCAAAACCGAAACTCATGTCAGACCTTCACCAGTCTCTTCTGCATCCAGCATATCTCCAATGCGCCTGGCATGTGCGACACTAAACGATTACAAAAACAGGAACATCGATGAAACAGTTCTGAAAATGCTGGTGATGATGTAAGGAGGTCATAATGCATGCGTCATCTTCATCCGCGCTGTCCTTATGACGTAGTCGTCGTAGTCGTAGTCGTAGTAGTGTCAATAATCGTATTGTCGTCGCAGCAGCAGCAGCAGCAGCAGCAGCAGCAGCAGCAGCAGCAGCGGGATGAGTCGTAGTAGTAGTAGTAGTAGTAGTAGTAGTAGTAGTGGTGGTAATGGCAGTGGCAGTGGCAGTGGCAGTGGTAGTGGCAGTGGTAGTGGTCGTGGGCTTGGTAGTGGTACTGGTAGTGGTAGTGGTAGTAGTCGTAGTGGTGGTGATAGCAACGGTAGTGGCAACAGTAGCAGCAACGGTTGTGCTGGGAGCACCCGGCGTTGAACAAGCTTGGGTTTTCTTGTCTCGCAATACCGACATGTATCGTGTACATGCACCTGGGCGAAAACGATGTGTTTAAGCTGCGCATAGGAGGCAGGACATGCGAAAGCCAAGATCGGAGCTCGCAAACCCACCCGAGAATGGAGCCAGCATCACTTGAAGAACTGCATCGCCATGCTGCCAATTGGCAAACGGCTGTGCGATTTTTTCGCTTCGTGTTGGAGGCAACATATGCTGTCCTACTCGATGTCTGAATGTGTGTGCTGGAGTAGCTAATTCTGGCTTCTATGACCGTGTGCACTCGTGTGCCATGTTCCTTGCGTACTAACAATCCTTTTCTGCGCTGGCGGTCCGCCTGAGGGTTACATACAGGTTACTATTTAAACAGGTCTCCGCCCTGAGCCCGGCAAGCCGGTCGGAGAAGACTCGCCATGGAGAAGAAATATTTTGGCCTGTGTTAGTTCTGCTGGTAATTGAAACTCTTAGTCTTTATGGTCGTGAGTTTGCCTCTGGAAATGGTTATGCTTATGATTATGATTGGTGAACGGGTTTGGGGTCTAAGGCCTACGGTCCAATGCAGTCTTTGGAACATCTACATACCATAAACTCATTTTTCCATGCACGGCCTGCAATTTGTTGCCCGGCCCTGCTGTCCAAACTTTGCCGAAACCCCAAACCAACACCTCAGGCAGGGCAACCGTAGATCCGTATGCACTATATGTGCCGTATGTGAAATATGCGCACTTAAACCTGGAACATTTGACCATCTGCATGAGACTCCTCCTCCGGTTCGTTTTTTTTGAGGTCGCGAATGGGTGCGCGTGCGTGCTAGGTGAGACCTCAGGTCGTCTTGCACGCCTCGGAGGAAGCTGCAGCTTCTGGGGAGGCACTGAAAGGTCTTGAGGTCGCAGCCGGCAGCATGGGACGCAGACCTGGCAGGGCAGGGCCCCATGTCAGCGGCTCCAGAAATTTCCAAGAAGCTGGCCTTGTGCCGAGGACCGCTCCCGCTCCTTCCAGGAGATTCGATGCATTTAGTGCCTTCGTCGGAAAGTCAAAAAGGTCCTGCGGAGCACCGCGGCGACCAGGCGAGCTGGCCGGGCGGTCCGGGCGGTCTGGGCGGCGAGCCTCGCCACCTCAGCTCCCCACAGACGCCCCTCTAGAGAAACTTCAACAGCCTCTAGCTGAAGGCCTCCGAAGATGACAGATGCCTGCACAGACAACCAACTTGCCTTCTGCCTTTTGCCTTCTCTGTGCATCTGAGCACCTCCTGGTCTTCCTGCTCGTCCTCGTCGTCTGACATAGGCAGGTCCGCTGGACTAACGAAGCCAGTGCCTGCACAGAACATCAGGGCTTGTGCACCGCGGCCCTGCTGATGGTTCCTCCCTGCCTTTCCGTGCCGCCTTGCTGCCGCCATCCAGTGGTGACGGTCCTTGGGCTCGGATGTCCTGCAGGTCTAGGAGCTGCACTTCAAGATCATCGCGCTCGATTTCAAGCAGCTGCTCCGGCCACTCGGTGCCTCGGCGAAGCCAACGATGCGTCGGGATGATGGCTGGGAGTGCGAACTGGAAGGCACCTTCAGCGAGCACCGTCACGATTTGAAGAGATGACCTTCCACGCTTCACTGCATCGGGAATTGTGGCCTCGTCCTCGTCCTCGTCGTCTGACATGGGCAAGTCGGCTGCCAACACGAAGCCTGTGCCTCCCCAAATTTTGAAGACAAGCGTGACCAAAAGGAGATCAGTACCCGCGAGCCTTTGCGTGCCGCCTTGGGCGGAGGCGCATTTCGTGGCTCCGGCACCTCAGGAATTCAGGCTGACAGAATGCTGTACTCGAGAATTTCCCCGCTTGGGTCACTGCCGCACTGAAGTCCACATTTCTTTGGACAGGCTTCGAGACAAGCTCCACCTCTGTTTACAGAAAGCTGTTGCCCCACTGATTAATGTTGAGGAAACGCCTTCTCATCCTCCTCATCTTCCTCGTCCGTCAAGGGCAGGTCCGCTGTCAGCACGAAGCCCGTGCCTGCAGGCCACACATTCACCAGTGCCAATGCGGACGCTATCAAGTCTATGCTCATCGATGCCTTTGCGGGCTGCTTTCGACGGAGCAGTGCTCCGTGGCTCCGGCACCTCATGGCTTCTATCTCTATGCACAGAAATCTTTCCCGACCCAGCTGAGGCGACGGACCGCGCTGAAACCCACGTTCTTCTTGGGGGCTGAAGGAACTGCTCCGCTGCCTTCTGCCTGTTCCAGCTGCGGCTGAACCAGCTGCCAGCGCACGGAGGCGGCACTGATGGGCTTACCAAAGAACATCAACCTCTCCTCGTCTAGCTCGTCCTCCTCGTCCGTCAGCGGCAAGTCGGCTGCCAATACGAAGCCCGTGCCTCCACGCCAAATACACACTGCATTAACATCCCGAACTCATCCAACTCCTCCCGCTTCTCGTGCCTTTGCGGGTTGCCTTGGACGGGGCACTTCCCTGTGACTCGGGCACCTCACGGTGCAGCTCATGCTGTCGTTAGTCTGTAGTGAGTACAAGTCACCATGTCCCAAGCACACCCTGAGAGTGAGCATTAGATGCATTAGCATCACAGCTAAACTCAGGAGCCCGGGCATCATGACATCATGAGCGAAGCTGCATCTCTACCAGGCGTTCTGCTGACGTCACTCCCACCGAGTATCTATGCATCCGCGACTTCTGTGGCGATGTGGCTACCCAGTGGACTTTTGCGAACAGCTCCACAGCCCAGAAGTCTACGAGCAGTCGAGCGTGTCGCCACGCAACCGAGCTCGCTGCCGCGCTGAAATCCACGTTCTTCTTCGCAGGCTTCGACGGAACCGCTGCCTGCACCCATCACTCCAGCCGATGTGTTCACCATGCATGCAGAAACGCATATCTCAGACTGTGACGCTCGTCATCTGAAACTGCAGTCGCTCCCGGCAGCTGTTGCCTGCTCCTCCTCCTCATCTTCCTCGTCCGTCAAGGGCAGGTCCGCTGTCAGCACAAAGCCCGTGCCTGCAGGCCACACATTCACCAGTGCCAATGCGGACGCTATCAAGTCGATGCTCATCGATGCCTTTGCGGGCTGCTTTCGACGGAGCAGTGCTCCGTGGCTCCGGCACCTCAGGGCTTCTATCTCTATGAACACCAGTCTTTCCCGACCCAGCTGAGGCGACGGACCGCGCTGAAACCCACGTTCTTCTTGGGGGCTGAAGGAACTGCTCCGCTGCCTTCTGCCTGTTCCAGCTGTGGCTGAACCAGCTGCCAGCGCACGGAGGCAGAAATGAAGGGCTTACCAAAGAACATCAACCTCTCCTCGTCTAGCTCGTCCTCCTCGTCCGTCAGCGGCAAGTCGGCTGCCAATACGAAGCCCGTGCCTCCACGCTAAATACACACTGCATTAACATCCCGGACTTATTCAACTCCTCCCGCTTCTCGTGCCTTTGCGGGTTGCCTTGGACGGGGCACTTCCCTGTGACTCGGGCACCTCACGGTGCAGCTCATGCTGTCGTTAGTCTGTAGTGAGTACAAGTCACCATGTCCCAAGCACACCCTGAGAGTGAGCATTAGATGCATTAGCATCACAGCTAAACTCAGGAGCCCGGGCATCATGACATCATGAGCGAAGCTGCATCTCTACCAGGCGTTCTGCCGACGTCACTCCCACCGAGTATCTATGTATCCGCGACTTCTGTGGCGATGTGGCTACCCAGTGGACTTTTGCGAACAGCTCCACAGCCCAGAAGTCTACGAGCAGTCGAGCGTGTCGCCACGCAACCGAGCTCGCTGCCGCGCTGAAATCCACGTTCTTCTTCGCAGGCTTCGACGGAACCGCTGCCTGCACCCATCACTCCAGCCGATGTGTTCACCATGCATGCAGAAACGCATATCTCAGACTGTGACGCTCGTCATCTGAAACTGCAGTCGCTCCCGGCAGCTGTTGCCTGCTCCTCCTCCTCATCTTCCTCGTCCGTCAAGGGCAGGTCCGCTGTCAGCACGAAGCCCGTGCCTGCAGGCCACACATTCACCAGTGCCAATGCGGACGCTATCAAGTCGATGCTCATCGATGCCTTTGCGGGCTGCTTTCGACGGAGCAGTGCTCCGTGGCTCCGGCACCTCATCGCTTCTATCTCTATGCACAGAAATCTTTCCCGACCCAGCTGAGGCGACGGACCGCGCTGAAACCCACGTTCTTCTTGGGGGCTGAAGGAACTGCTCCGCTGCCTTCTGCCTGTTCCAGCTGTGGCTGAACCAGCTGCCAGCGCACGGAGGCAGAAATGAAGGGCTTACCAAAGAACATCAACCTCTCCTCGTCTAGCTCGTCCTCCTCGTCCGTCAGCGGCAAGTCGGCTGCCAATACGAAGCCCGTGCCTCGTCGCCAAATACACGTTGCATTAACATCCCGGACTTATTCAACTCCTCCCGCTTCTCGTGCCTTTGCGGGTGGCCTTGGACGGAGCACTTCCCTGTGACTCGGGCACCTCACGGTGCAGCTCATGCTGTCGTTAGTCTGTAGTGAGTACAAGTCACCATGTCCCAAGCACACCCTGAGAGTGAGCATTAGATGAATCAGCATCACAGCTAAACTCAGGAGCCCAGGCATCATGACATCATGAGCGAAGCTGCATCTCTACCAGGCGTTCTGCCGACGTCACTCCCACCGAGTATCTATGTATCCGCGACTTCTGTGGCGATGTGGCTACCCAGAGGACTTTTGCGAACAGCTCCACAGCCCAGAAGTCTGCGAGCAGTCGAGCGTGTCGCCACGCAACCGAGCTCGCTGCCGCGCTGAAGTCCACGTTCTTCTTCGCAGGCTTCGACGGAACCGCTGCCTGCACCCATCACTCCAGCCGATGTGTTCACCATGCATGCAGAAACGCATATCTCAGACTGTGACGCTCGTCATCTGAAACTGCAGTCGCTCCCGGCAGCTGTTGCCTGCTCCTCCTCCTCATCTTCCTCGTCCGTCAAGGGCAGATCCGCTGTCAGCACGAAGCCCGTGCCTGCAGGCCACACATTCACCAGTGCCAATGCGGACGCTATCAAGTCGATGCTCATCGATGCCTTTGCTGGCTGCTTTCGATGGAGCAGTGCTCCGTGGCTCCGGCACCTCATCGCTTCTATCTCTATGGACAGAAATCTTTCCCGACCCAGCTGAGGCGACGGACCGCGCTGAAACCCACGTTCTTCTTGGGGGCTGAAGGAACTGCTCCGCTGCCTTCTGCCTGTTCCAGCTGTGGCTGAACCAGCTGCCAGCGCACGGAGGCAGAAATGATGGGCTTACAAGAACATCGACCTCTCCTCGTCTAGCTCGTCCTCCTCGTCCGTCAGCGGCAAGTCGGCTGCCAATACGAAGCCCGTGCCTCCACGCTAAATACACACTGCATTAACATCCCGAACTCATCCAACTCCTCCCGCTTCTCGTGCCTTTGCGGGTTGCCTTGGACGGAGCACTTCCCTGTGTCTCCGGCACCTCACGGTGCAGCTCATGCTGTCGTTAGTCTGTAGTGAGTACCCCCTGAGAGTGAGCATTAGATGCATTGGCATCACAGCTAAACTCAGGAGCCCGGGCATCATGACATCATGAGCAAAGCTGCATCTCTACCAGGCGTTCTGCTGACGTCACTCCCACCGAGTATCTATGTATCCGCGACTTCTGTGGCTACCCAGTGGACTTTTGCGAACAGCTCCACAGCCCAGAAGTCTACGAGCAGTCGAGCGTGTCGCCACGCAACCGAGCTCGCTGCCGCGCTGAAGTCCACGTTCTTCTTCGCAGGCTTCGACGGAACCGCTGCCTGCACCCATCACTCCAGCCGATGTGTTCACCATGCATGCAGAAACGCATATCTCAGACTGTGACGCTCGTCATCTGAAACTGCAGTCGCTCCCGGCAGCTGTTGCCTGCTCCTCCTCCTCATCTTCCTCGTCCGTCAAGGGCAAGTCCGCTGTCAGCACGAAGCCCGTGCCTGCAGGCCACACATTCACCAGTGCCAATGCGGACGCTATCAAGTCGATGCTCATCGATGCCTTTGCGGGCTGCTTTCGACGGAGCAGTGCTCCGTGGCTCCGGCACCTCATCGCTTCTATCTCTATGCACAGAAATCTTTCCCGACCCAGCTGAGGCGACGGACCGCGCTGAAACCCACGTTCTTCTTGGGGGCTGAAGGAACTGCTCCGCTGCCTTCTGCCTGTTCAAGCTGTGGCTGAACCAGCTGCCAGCGCACGGAGGCAGAAATGATGGGCTTACCAAAACATCAACCTCTCCTCGTCTAGCTCGTCCTCCTCGTCCGTCAGCGGCAAGTCGGCGGCCAATACGAAGCCCGTGCCTCCACGCTAAATACACTCTGCATTCACTTCCCGAACTCATTCAACTTCTCCCCTTCTCGTGCCTTTGCGGGTTGCCTTGGACGGAGCACTTCCCTGTGACTCGGGCACCTCACGGTGCAGCTCATGCTGTCGTTAGTCTGTAGTGAGTACAAGTCACCATGTCCCAAGCACACCCTGAGAGTGAGCATTAGATGCATTGCATAACAGCTAAACTCAGGAGCCCGGGCATCATGACATCATGAGCAAAGCTGCATCTCTACCAGGTGTTCCGCGACTTCTGTGGCGATGTGGCTACCCAATGGACTTTTGCGAACAGCTCCACAGCCCAGAAGTCTACGAGCAGTCGAGCGTGTCAACGCGCAACCGAGCTCGCTGCCGCGCTGAAGTCCACGTTCTTCTTCGCAGGCTTCGACGGAGCCGCTGCCTCCACCCATCACTCCAGCCGATGTGTTCACCATGCAGAAACGCATAACTCAGTCATCTCAAACATCTCAAACTGCAGTCTCGCTCCCGGCAGCTGTTGCCTGCTCCTCCTCCTCATCTTCCTCGTCCGTCAAGGGCAGGTCCGCTGTCAGCACGAAGCCCGTGCCTGCAGGCCACACATTCACCAGTGCCAATGCGGACGCTATCAAGTCGATGCTCATCGATGCCTTTGCGGGCTGCTTTCGACGGAGCAGTGCTCCGTGGCTCCGGCACCTCATCGCTTCTATCTCTATGCACAGAAATCTTTCCCGACCCAGCTGAGGCGACGGACCGCGCTGAAACCCACGTTCTTCTTGGGGGCTGAAGGAACTGCTCCGCTGCCTTCTGCCTGTTCCAGCTGTGGCTGAACCAGCTGCCAGCGCACGGAGGCAGAAATGATGGGCTTACCAAAGAACATCAACCTCTCCTCGTCTAGCTCGCCCTCCTCGTCCGTCAGCGGCAAGTCGGCTGCCAATACGAAGCCCGTGCCTCCACGCTAAATACACTCTGCATTAACATCCCGGACTCATTCAACTTCTCCCCTTCTCGTGCCTTTGCGGGTTGCCTTGGACGGAGCACTTCCCTGTGACTCGGGCACCTCACGGTGCAGCTCATGCTGTCGTTAGTCTGTAGTGAGTACAAGTCACCATGTCCCAAGCACACCCTGAGAGTGAGCATTAGATGCATTAGCATCACAGCTAAACTCAGGAGCCCGGGCATCATGACATCATGAGCAAAGCTGCATCTCTACCAGGCGTTCTGCTGACGTCACTCCCACCGAGTATCTATGTATCCGCGACTTCTGTGGCGATGTGGCTACCCAGTCTGTGGACTTTTGCGAACAGCTCCACAGCCCAGAAGTCTACGAGCAGTCGAGCGTGTCAACGCGCAACCGAGCTCGCTGCCGCGCTGAAGTCCACGTTCTTCTTCGCAGGCTTCGACGGAGCCGCTGCCTCCACCCATCACTCCAGCCGATGTGTTCACCATGCAGAAACGCATAACTCAGTCATCTCAAACATCTCAAACTGCAGTCTCGCTCCCGGCAGCTGTTGCCTGCTCCTCCTCCTCATCTTCCTCGTCCGTCAAGGGCAGGTCCGCTGTCAGCACGAAGCCCGTGCCTGCAGGCCACACATTCACCAGTGCCAATGCGGACGCTATCAAGTCGATGCTCATCGATGCCTTTGCGGGCTGCTTTCGACGGAGCAGTGCTCCGTGGCTCCGGCACCTCATCGCTTCTATCTCTATGCACAGAAATCTTTCCCGACCCAGCTGAGGCGACGGACCGCGCTGAAACCCACGTTCTTCTTGGGGGCTGAAGGAACTGCTCCGCTGCCTTCTGCCTGTTCCAGCTGTGGCTGAACCAGCTGCCAGCGCACGGAGGCAGCAATGATGGGCTTACCAAAGAACATCAACCTCTCCTCGTCTAGCTCGTCCTCCTCGTCCGTCAGCGGCAAGTCGGCTGCCAATACGAAGCCCGTGCCTCCACGCTAAATACACTCTGCATTCACTTCCCGAACTCATTCAACTTCTCCCCTTTCTCGTGCCTTTGCGGGTTGCCTTGGACGGAGCACTTCCCTGTGACTCGGGCACCTCACAGTGCAGTGCATGCTGTCGTTAGTGTGTAGTGAGCACACTGAAGTCCGCAGCTTTGCCGCACTGTCTGCCGCCAGGTATGTGGTCACAGGAAGTCGCATATCACACATTTGAGCTACGATGCTAAGCTCCGTTATGCCGCATTCCGAAACATGGGCTGCACACATTGCTTCATGGCACGATTCGTCAGGTTGTTTGTTGTTTCGTGGACTTCTTCAAAACGTTGCATGCCAGCATGTGGCTGCCCATCATGGCAGCAGGAAGCAACGCTGGTTTTAGCGCTTGTGGACTCATTTTGACATGGCTCAAGAGCAGTCCGGCCCACACTTTGGCATGAGCATGAGCCGTGTTCGGATGTTTGTAGCGCGGTGTTGCAGCGAACATGCTGGACAAACGGAGCAGCTGCTCAATTTGTGAACTTCAGCTTGCTGCGAGTGGCTCCTTCGTAATGCTGGCTGTGCAACCGAGCCACCGCGCTGAAGACAACGTTCCTTTTCGTTTTCGCGGCACCTTCCGCCTCGGACGTCCGGTGCAATGCCTTGTGACATCTTACGCCTCATCCGGGTATCTGCTTGCCGCCTTCACATCCTCCTCGTTCTCCTCGTCCGTCAAGGGCAGCTCTTCTGTCAACACGAAACTCTTGCCTGAAAGCCATGAGCTGGTGCACACAAACCGATGCCACTCTAACTTTACCCTGACCCTTACGTCGAGTCTAGGCCATGCTAGGCCTATAAAAGCCCACGGATGGAGTGATGAATACAGTAGCTCAGTAGCTGTGCTGCCTTTTTTCGCCGTCTTGGATGCGATGCTCCATGGCTTCGGCGCCTGGAGACTCACCGTACTCAGGAGACGAAGCCACAAGCCCCGCCAGCAATCTGAGGCTTCAGGCCGGCGACATTGGCGATGTAGGCGTGACATCTCTGCGGCCTGCGTCCTGCAGCCAAGAACTCGCTGCATGAAAGAGTACCTGTACATTGCGATCCGTTGATGAAAAACGCTCAACCCGTCCTGATCAGGCTCATCCTCCTCGTCGGTCAATGGCAAGTCGGCCGCCAATACGAAGCCCGTGCCTGCACAAGCATCCACCGAAACTCGTCATGCTCACACTTTGTAGGCCCTCGCCTTTACGGGTCGCCTTGGACGGAGCAGCCCCTTGTGGCTCCGGCACCTTAAATCAGCACAACGAACTGAAGCCGCCGTGACAACACGTGAGGGGTCCCAACGGTCACACGGAACTCTGGTGCCGTGAGCACTGGCAGCACTAACAGGCGGAACCCTCCCGGCATGCGAACCCTGGCAATCCCCGAAAATCACTTAGAGCCAAACCGGCCCCTGCAGAACTCTTGTTTACTGCTGGCTTATACAAGTAACACTCGAAATGCAAATCTCTCTTGCGCATCATCTATGTGGCACTGTCACAGCATGGCACAACCGAGCTCGATGCCGCGCTGAAGTCCACGTTCTTCTTTGCAGGCTTCGAAGGAACCGCTGCCTGCGACATCCCTTCATTGCTCCAACCATGTCCAGCCCAAAGTCTAGTCAGGCTGCTGACGTACTGCTGGCAGCCTCTGCCTTCTCATCCTCCTCGTCCTCCTCGTCCGTCATCGGTAGGTCCGCCGTCAATACGAAGCCCGTGCCTTGCCCATGTGCGCGAAAGTTGACCTTCCTCCATCCTTGTCTTCATATCCTTAATGGGATCTTACACTAGGTGCAAACTGCCCATGCCTTTGCGCGTCGCCTTGGACGGAGCGCTGCTTCGTGGCTCCGGCACCTCAAGACTCCAATCTCTGCAGGAATCGACATCCCCCAGTGCGCATCTGTGGTGGCTTGCCGCATCGAAGTCCACACTCTTTTTGGGAGGCGCGGAAGGGGCAGCCTCATTGCCGCCTTCGGCCTGCACAGACGACTGAAAGCGTTCATGTCGGAGCAGACGAGATATGACAAAGCACAGCGACAGCACAACGTGTCCCCTCCTCCTCATCCGGCTCATCCTCCTCATCCGTCAACGGTAGGTCAGCTGCCAATACGAAGCCGGTACCTTCATCCCAATGTGCCGGTCTTCCTTGTGCCTGTATGCTCAGAACGACCATGTCCCGTGCCTTTGCGCGTCGCCTTGGACGGAGCACTGTTTCGCGGCTCCGGCACCTCAAGACTTCATTCAATCTCTGCTGCGGGAATCGACGTCACCACGTCCCTCGGTGTGAATCTGAGGTGGCCGGCGGCATCGAAGTCCACAATCTTTTTGGGAGGCGCGGAAGGGGCAGCCTCTCTGCCGCCTTCGACCTGCACAGCACAACTTGAGTAGGTATCTTATGCGACTCGATATTGTTGCGGCAAAGCACCAAAAACAATAATGCGTCTTCTTCTCAACATATGCCCGATTCCTAGTGACAAGAAATTCGAAATAAGATTACCTCCGGCAACCCTACCTCCTCATCAGGCTCATCCTCCTCGTCGGTCAATGGCAAGTCGGCCGCCAATACGAAGCCCGTGCCTGCACAAGCATCCACCGAAACTCGTCATGCTCACACTTTGTGGGTCCTCGCCTTTACGGGTCGCCTTGGACGGAGCAGCCCCTTGTGGCTCCGGCACCTTAAATCAGCACAACGAACTGAAGCCGCCGTGACAACACATGAGGGGTCCCAACGGTCACACGGAACTCTGGTGCGGTGAGTACTGGCAGCACTAAAAGGCGGAACCCTCCTGGCATAGGACCCTGGCAATCCCCGAAAATCACTTAGAGCCAAACCGGCCCCTGCAGAACTCTTGTTTACTGCTGGCTTATACAAGTAACACTCGAAATGCAAATCTCTCTTGCGCATCATCTATGTGGCACTGTCACAGCATGGCACAACCGAGCTCGATGCCGCGCTGAAGTCCACGTTCTTCTTTGCAGGCTTCGAAGGAACCGCTGCCTGCGACATCCCTTCATTGCTCCAGCCATGTCCAGCCCAAAGTCTAGTCAGGCTGCTGACGTACTGCTGGCAGCCTCTGCCTTCTCATCCTCCTCGTCCTCCTCGTCCGTCAACGGTAGGTCCGCCGTCAATACGAAGCCCGTGCCTTGCCCATGTGCGCGAAAGTTGACCTTCCTCCATCCTTGTCTTCATATCCTTAATGGGATCTTACACTAGGTGCAAACTGCCCATGCCTTTGCGCGTCGCCTTGGACGGAGCGCTGCTTCGTGGCTCCGGCACCTCAAGACTCCAATCTCTGCAGGAATCGACATCCCCCAGTGCGCATCTGTGGTGGCTTGCCGCATCGAAGTCCACACTCTTTTTGGGAGGCGCGGAAGGGGCAGCCTCATTGCCGCCTTCGGCCTGCACAGACGACTGAAAGCGTTCATGTCGGAGCAGACGAGATATGACAAAGCACAGCGACAGCACAACGTGTCCCCTCCTCCTCATCCGGCTCATCCTCCTCATCCGTCAACGGTAGGTCAGCTGCCAATACGAAGCCGGTACCTTCATCCCAATGTGCCGGTCTTCCTTGTGCCTGTATGCTCAGAACGACCATGTCCCGTGCCTTTGCGCGTCGCCTTGGACGGAGCACTGTTTCGCGGCTCCGGCACCTCAAGACTTCATTCAATCTCTGCTGCGGGAATCGACGTCACCACGTCCCTCGGGGTGAATCTGAGGTGGCCGGCGGCATCGAAGTCCACAATCTTTTTGGGAGGCGCGGAAGGGGCAGCCTCTCTGCCGCCTTCGACCTGCACAGCACAACGTGAGTAGGTATCTTATGCGACTCGAATTGCAAAGCACCACCAAAAAATAATGCGTTTTCTTCTCAACATATGCCCGATTCCTAGCGACAAGAAATTCGAGATAAGATTACCTCCGGCAACCCTACCTCCTCATCAGGCTCATCCTCCTCGTCGGTCAATGGCAAGTCGGCCGCCAATACGAAGCCCGTGCCTGCACAAGCATCCACCGAAACTCGTCATGCTCACAGTTTGTGGGCCCTCGCCTTTACGGGTCGCCTTGGACGGAGCAGCCCCTTGTGGCTCCGGCACCTTAAATCAGCACAACGAACTGAAGCCGCCGTGACAACACATGAGGGGTCCCAACGGTCACACGGAACTCTGGTGCGGTGAGTACTGGCAGCACTAAAAGGCGGAACCCTCCTGGCATAGGACCCTGGCAATCCCCGAAAATCACTTAGAGCCAAACCGGCCCCTGCAGAACTCTTGTTTACTGCTGGCTTATACAAGTAACACTCGAAATGCAAATCTCTCTTGCGCATCATCTATGTGGCACTGTCACAGCATGGCACAACCGAGCTCGATGCCGCGCTGAAGTCCACGTTCTTCTTTGCAGGCTTCGAAGGAACCGCTGCCTGCGACATCCCTTCATTGCTCCAACCATGTCCAGCCCAAAGTCTAGTCAGGCTGCTGACGTACTGCTGGCAGCCTCTGCCTTCTCATCCTCCTCGTCCTCCTCGTCCGTCATCGGTAGGTCCGCCGTCAATACGAAGCCCGTGCCTTGCCCATGTGCGCGAAAGTTGACCTTCCTCCATCCTTGTCTTCATATCCTTAATGGGATCTTACACTAGGTGCAAACTGCCCATGCCTTTGCGCGTCGCCTTGGACGGAGCGCTGCTTCGTGGCTCCGGCACCTCAAGACTCCAATCTCTGCAGGAATCGACATCCCCCAGTGCGCATCTGTGGTGGCTTGCCGCATCGAAGTCCACACTCTTTTTGGGAGGCGCGGAAGGGGCAGCCTCATTGCCGCCTTCGGCCTGCACAGACGACTGAAAGCGTTCATGTCGGAGCAGACGAGATATGACAAAGCACAGCGACAGCACAACGTGTCCCCTCCTCCTCATCCGGCTCATCCTCCTCATCCGTCAACGGTAGGTCAGCTGCCAATACGAAGCCGGTACCTTCATCCCAATGTGCCGGTCTTCCTTGTGCCTGTATGCTCAGAACGACCATGTCCCGTGCCTTTGCGCGTCGCCTTGGACGGAGCACTGTTTCGCGGCTCCGGCACCTCAAGACTTCATTCAATCTCTGCTGCGGGAATCGACGTCACCACGTCCCTCGGTGTGAATCTGAGGTGGCCGGCGGCATCGAAGTCCACAATCTTTTTGGGAGGCGCGGAAGGGGCAGCCTCTCTGCCGCCTTCGACCTGCACAGCACAACTTGAGTAGGTATCTTATGCGACTCGATATTGTTGCGGCAAAGCACCAAAAACAATAATGCGTCTTCTTCTCAACATATGCCCGATTCCTAGCGACAAGAAATTCGAGATAAGATTACCTCCGGCAACCCTACCTCCTCATCAGGCTCATCCTCCTCGTCGGTCAATGGCAAGTCGGCCGCCAATACGAAGCCCGTGCCTGCACAAGCATCCACCGAAACTCGTCATGCTCACAGTTTGTGGGCCCTCGCCTTTACGGGTCGCCTTGGACGGAGCAGCCCCTTGTGGCTCCGGCACCTTAAATCAGCACAACGAACTGAAGCCGCCGTGACAACACATGAGGGGTCCCAACGGTCACACGGAACTCTGGTGCGGTGAGTACTGGCAGCACTAAAAGGCGGAACCCTCCTGGCATAGGACCCTGGCAATCCCCGAAAATCACTTAGAGCCAAACCGGCCCCTGCAGAACTCTTGTTTACTGCTGGCTTATACAAGTAACACTCGAAATGCAAATCTCTCTTGCGCATCATCTATGTGGCACTGTCACAGCATGGCACAACCGAGCTCGATGCCGCGCTGAAGTCCACGTTCTTCTTTGCAGGCTTCGAAGGAACCGCTGCCTGCGACATCCCTTCATTGCTCCAGCCATGTCCAGCCCAAAGTCTAGTCAGGCTGCTGACGTACTGCTGGCAGCCTCTGCCTTCTCATCCTCCTCGTCCTCCTCGTCCGTCAACGGTAGGTCCGCCGTCAATACGAAGCCCGTGCCTTGCCCATGTGCGCGAAAGTTGACCTTCCTCCATCCTTGTCTTCATATCCTTAATGGGATCTTACACTAGGTGCAAACTGCCCATGCCTTTGCGCGTCGCCTTGGACGGAGCGCTGCTTCGTGGCTCCGGCACCTCAAGACTCCAATCTCTGCAGGAATCGACATCCCCCAGTGCGCATCTGTGGTGGCTTGCCGCATCGAAGTCCACACTCTTTTTGGGAGGCGCGGAAGGGGCAGCCTCATTGCCGCCTTCGGCCTGCACAGACGACTGAAAGCGTTCATGTCGGAGCAGACGAGATATGACAAAGCACAGCGACAGCACAACGTGTCCCCTCCTCCTCATCCGGCTCATCCTCCTCATCCGTCAACGGTAGGTCAGCTGCCAATACGAAGCCGGTACCTTCATCCCAATGTGCCGGTCTTCCTTGTGCCTGTATGCTCAGAACGACGTGTCCCGTGCCTTTGCGCGTCGCCTTGGACGGAGCGCTGTTTCGCGGCTCCGGCACCTCAACTTCATTCCATCTCTACTGCGGGAATCGACGTCACCACGTCCCCGATGTGAATCTGAGGTGGCCGGCGGCATCGAAATCCACACTCTTTTTGGGAGGCGCGGAAGGGGCAGCCTCTCTGCCGCCTTCGGCCTGCACAGTACAACACCAGCACCATACGGGAGTCCTCTTGTGCGTGATCCTGTCTCCATGCCTTCTTCTAAGGCACAGCATTATCTTTGCACAAAGATGCGGCTTCCTCCTCCTCTGGCTCATCCTCCTCATCCGTCAACGGCAGGTCAACCGCCGATACGAAACCCGTGCCTGCACGGGCAGACAGACGGTAATCGCCTGGCCTGACCCCTCGTGTAACCACGTCAAATCTATCTCCCGTGCCTTTGCGAGATGCTTTGGATGGAGAGCGAGAGTCCCCCTGAGTTTCCGGCACCTTAAGTCTTCGGGCAGGAGACAAGAAGGTCTATACCTCTGTCGGTAGCATCCTGAGTCAGCCGGCCGCATTGAAATCCACGGTCTTCTTGGAAGCCGCCAGGGGAGCAGAGGCTTTGTCCCCTCCTTCGATCTCTTTTCTCTTTACCTGCGGGCACACAGGACCCGAGGTGCCAAGAATGGCGTGGGTTCATGCGGATTCTTCTCCTTGCGATTACTGCTGCTATTGCTGTACCCAGGAATGCCACTGCCATTTAATCGTCCTATCAGCACATTCCGCGCGATGAATTATTCCTACGATTTTGCGGATTCCACCACCCTTTTGTCTACCATTGTTATGCTGCTTACTCTTGTCGTACAGCTCCTCTGGCTGCGGCACTTTCTGCGGTGTCGCCTGCGTGCTTTCATCTTCCAAGGAGGCAGGACCAGCGGCCGTGTCTTCACAATCACTCCTGGAGATGTCGGGTTCAACCCATCTGTCCCTCATGAGTATTCGCACATAGACCTGCTTAATTTGCAAAATGGGCATCTACGAGGGACAAGCATATGTACAAGTGTTTAGATGCTTCACGCGATACAACGAGTGAAACAACGTGACGTGCTCCTCCATTCGTCTGGGGTCGGCCTAGCAGCCACGCGACATGTTTCTCCAACCTCATACTGAGCAAGCACGCGCTTGCAGGTGCCTTGCCCGTGCCAGCGCGGCAGCACTCGGTCGCTTCACAGGGTCCTTATCGCCGAGCGTCTCGAACCGGCTTTTGACAGAGGTATGCGAGGGATCTCGACGGTTCGAACTCTTGAAGCCCTTCATTGAGCTTCCAGCTGCATGCAGCAGCGCACCTAGCAGGTCCAGCAGCTGAGCTTTCTCCGGCACGTGCTTCAACGCCTGAACATGCAACATAGTCCAAGTCACATGGGCTGACTCACTCACTCACTGATACGCAGCTCCACAAGGCGCTGAGCGTTGCTCAACTTCGGGAAAGGGTTGCAGCCATCTGTTATCAGAGGCTGAGGAGATCTGCGGAGATCTGCACAAAAGATGGGAAAACTTTTGGCTACACCACTGCCGCATCGAGCAAGTAGACTGAAGGGTCCCACAAGCGTTTGTGTACCGGGGTATTGGAGTTGGGGCTCAAGAGAAACGTTGGATAGGGTTTAGGGATCATAGATAACGGTCGTTTTGCATTATAATTGACTAGCATCCTTTACAATGTCACTTCGTCGGCGACATATTCGATGACATATTCGGTGAAGCTTTCGGTGATAATTGCAAAAACCTTCTCACTGAAATGATTCCGTAGGCTTAGCGACGACATATTCGATGACATATTCGATGACATCTTCGGTGAAATCTACATGGGCTGACTGCACACCCTAAACCCTAAACCCTGCGATTCCGCATCCGTGCCTTCAGCACGGCCTTGGGCCGCGGGGCCGAATCGCCCTTGAGCAATGTGAGGCCACCCAGTGGCTCGATAGCCTCCAGCCGCTCGGGGCCGGCCCTTCTCAGAAGATGGCCCTCCGGCCTTCAGAGCGCCCAAAGAAGCCCAAAGGACGTCTTTCTGACACCAAAATTCTACCATCCTCCCTGGGGCCGCCAGCGTAAAAATCTCCTCGCGCTTGGGATGGTGAAGAACCTCGCATGCAGTTGGGGAGTTCCTTCGCCCCCTGCTCTACAGCTGGACCGAGGAGACTTATGAGACTTCCGGGGGCCAGACCAAGTCGGCCGGCAAGGACCTCGATAAGGGGCTCGGGCGACGTGGTGGACAAGAAGTAAACAGTTCGAAGCCCCTGATCACCAGGATAACAACATCAACTAGGATGAGTACATAGTAGCAGCAGGGGCAGCAGCAGCAGCAGCAGTAGCAGTATAACAGGAGCAGCAGCAGCTCCAGTTGCTCTTGTTGCTGATGTTCGTCGTAGTCGCGCTCCCGGGCGCCGCTGTAAGCAGGAGTGGCAGATAATGTTGCAAGCTGCTAACACTGACGTCCTGTATATATGTACTATCACAACTCGTGGTGGATCTCCGGACAAGGTGCCCCAGGAACTCCACGAGGCCACAGAGCCGCTCGACCTTGGAGCATGCTGGGCTGCTGGGACTGTCTCTTGAAAGGGGCACGATGAGGATCGTGCCCGCCCACCTGACGGCAACTTCTCAAGCTTTCAGAGAGCTGAGCTGCTTTTTGCTGCTGCTGTTGGGTTTTGCGATATCTAGTCTGTGGGTTCGCAACTCATTCTTCAGATGTAGGAATATCGTGATGACAACTGCCATCATGAAGATGAATATGATGATGATGGTGATGATGATGATGATGGTGATTATGACAATGATGACGATGATGACGATGATGACGGTGGTGATGGTGGTGATGGTCACGATGCTGCCCATGAGTGCTCCTGCTATGTTTCCAACTACCCGCAGAAGCAATACTAGCGGTAATTTACAAATACACTAGTAAGGGGTATTCGTCGACGCCGTGTAGCGCTTGTAGCAGCAGTGTAGCAGCAGGAGCAAAAGCTGCTACTACTACTACTACTACTTCTACAGCAGATACGGCATAAGTGCTAGCAGTAGCTCAAGTGATAACAGCAGAAGTGGTAGCAGAACCACATCATCAACAAGCATTTATAGCGTCGGCCATGCATCGAGCCGAACAAAGCTTCTCCCGGTATATAAGGTGTATTTATACAGTATATATAAAAACATATATATATATATATATATGTACACACGCACCCCTTATATACTGTAAATACCATAAGGTTATCCCAAGTCAGAGAAGCATCTTCGGCCTGGTCCGGGCTCGATCCGCTCCTGGAGCAAAGCCTGACACGAGCAGAGACCGAAGCAAAGTCCAAGACTGCCCAAGGGCTTCGGGATTTAGCGAACCCCCAAACTTCCTAAACCCTAAAGCCAGGATGTGAGCCTTAACGTTGAAGGCTCCAAGAGCCTTCACAATGATTCCAAATCGAGTTGCACTGGTCAGGGTTTATTTAGCATGCAGGTTTCCGGCTTTGTATCAATCCCAGCCCGCTTTAAGACACCCACGGAGCCCTAATATAGGGCCTTGATAATACCCATACTATTTCGTGGATTCCTTATTATTCCAAAGGCAAGCTGTTTGACAAACTTTGAAGAGTGGAGCCTCGCAAAGGCAGGCGCCCAATAGCCTGCAAGGGACCGTTTTGGGCTCGGGGGTTTTGGCTGTGGGGTGTACGGGGCATCTCGGAAGACAAGAGAAAGCAACAGGAAAGGAGTCAGGATCGAAGTTGGATTTAAGCCAGAGCAGCCACAGGTCGCTCTTCTCGGTCAGGGGGAGCTCCAGCAGTACCTCCCGGATACAGGCAGGTCAATGTGAAAACTATGATCAAGTGTGATGCTGTATGCTACCCCGTTCCACTACCAACTTAACTTAACTCACGGTGGCCACAAAGCTGATAAAGCATACTAGCAAGAGCAGCCCGACAGCAAGACTACTCTGCTGCTGGGGCTGCTGTTGCTGCCACTACCTACGACCAGTACCGCCACTACCGCTGCTATGATTGTGGCTACGGCTGCTGCTGCTTGTGCCGCTACTGTTGCTTCTGTTGACAGCTGCTGTACTGCTACTGCTCATGCTCCAGCTCCCGCGCTCCTGCTCCTGCTCCTGCTCATTGGCTGGGGTACTTCGACGGACCACCAGCAAGGGTGCTGGTCGGAACTCCCGCTACGACCATGGTCTCAGCTTGGCTCCTCACGGCCTGCACCGTACACTACATGTTGCTCCTTCTCCTGCGGCTGCCTCCGCGGCTGCCTCTGCGGCTGCCCCTGCTGCTGCTGCAAGGCCGACTGAAAGTCATAGCGAATCGATGAAGAACTATGTAGTGGCCTTGCAGTATTCATAGCAACAACAAGAGGCTGCCGCTACGTCAGCCGTGTGCTAGCAGAATGCTCCGTCCCAGCCAGGGACAACTCCCTTTCGGCACCTCGGGCAGCAGCGTGGCTCCCCAGCAGGAAGGTTCCAGTTCGGAGACCTCCATCCCGAGCGACGAGTACAATGCAGAACTAGTCGCGACACCGCGCTGCCTTCTTTGCGGCATGGACACCCGTCAGTTTCCACCGGCCATCCAGCGCCAAACACAAGCTTTCGGGTGAAACCTGCAGCTCAAGTCCGTCGTCGCCAGGGCATCACATAACCATTATGAGCCAAGCGGCTTTGCACATAACCCAGTTGTGGGAGTGCAGCCTGAGGAGCTGTGGGGCACGGCCCGGCCAAGAGGAGCCAAGTTCAAGGACGATGAGCGCGGCCTCTGAAGGCCGCGCAAAGCAGCGGCCGCGGCTTCCAATAGCACAAGGCAGGCGCGTCCCGACGAGGAGTCGCACCTTCGTTCCCCTATGAACAACCGTTGTGCACGGGCTGACGCATGCAACGTGGTCTCTGCCTGCCGAGCTCCTCCCAGAGAGAAGCCTGGCAAATCCGACGTTGCGGCCTCGCCTCGCACATTTTCCTGCCGAGGCCTTGTGGAGATCCTCCACGACACCCACACGGCTGGGCCTTGGATGCCGCGACATGAGGCAAAATCTTGATAGCCACACTTGGCCCTCGGACAGCCCGAGGAAGGCGTGCCGAGACCTATGTCATCGCAAGTCATCGCAGCGCGAAACCCATGCCGCCGACGACGGCAGGCCACCTGCCTCAGAAACAATCCGCCCTCCTCGTCCAGAAATTCGATCTGTAGACGACGGGTAAGCCTCGAACATAGGGCAAGAGTCTCGCCGGGCCTGTCTGTTCGTGCATGGAGCTGGTGCCTCTGCGCCTCTTCTGTGCCAGATAGCTCGAAGACCTTGTTCAGGTTTCGGAAGGTGCCCAAAGGACCAAACGAGGCCCCCTCTTCGAGGGTTCTTGCCTCCAGGGCCCTGGAGACGCAATCCTCGCGGTCGAAGACCTGAAAACCCCTAAACCCTAAACCCCCAAACGGGCAGAGCTCAGCTTTTTCGGAGTCTCGGCCTCGAAGAGCTGATGGGCCTGGGACGAGCTCATCCGCTCTCGGAATAGTGAGTCTTCTGTCTCACTGGGTTTAGGGATTAGGGTTTAGGGACTCTCAACGTTCAACTTGATCCTGCAGACATTTTCTCACAATACTCTCACCATGTCGGTGCGACTTTGACTGCTGGCTTCGACGTGCTTTGAGAAAGTGAGCTCTCACCCGTCGCTTTGGGGTTCTGGCCCAGGGCCGTCGGGGCAGCACCCGCTGTACCTACCGCGAGCACATGTTGGGAGTTCCCGAACATCGGGGTACCTTATTTGGGGGTCCTTACAAGGGTCCTACCATTATGGGTGCTATGTTAGGGTCCCCTCTTTTCGGAAACTCCCACAAAGGACAAGGCAGGGCCGTCAAAGGGACTCTTGAAGCGGCCGCTTCAGCTTCAAGCCTCGTAGCGACCGGCAAAAAGCGAGGCCACAGCAGGCTCGACCCAACTCGGCACCTCAGTTTCCAGGAGTTGACGTGATATGATCTAAAGGAAAAAATGGAACACCGGCAGTTTCAGCGTCAGGCCAGCTGCACGGGGAACTCCAAGGGTCCTTCCGGCTCCACGCTGACCTCCGCATGTCATCCAAGGGCATCTTGCCGTGTGCTGGTGAAATTCGCCCTCGTCGCTTTGGCCGTCCTGAAGCTGAGCAAAGCCAGTGGGCTGGCCACCTCTCCAAGTCGGCACAAACAGGACTCATACTGATGATACCGCTTCAAGCTGTCATGATGACTTTGGGTGTGCTGGCATGTGCGAATGAGTATGACTCAATTGCTAATGATCTCCCAGCCGAGAAAGCCTCCTGGACGTGGCCGGCTCCCCCAGCGAGAACGTGCATCTTCAGGTGAGAGCCTTTGGGAGATACAATGAGCTGGAAGAAGAAGGCCCTCAAAAGCGACAGCAAGCACCACAATAACGGCAAACAGTTGTAACGTTGAAACTGTCATGAGATGTATGCAATGATCAATCAAAAATCGATAAGATCAGAGACCTGCAAGAAAATGCACTGCCCTGGAGGCAAGAGCGGGTAAGGGCCTGCAGGCCACGCGCCAGCCGGGCAGCGGCACCGGCACTTCGCCAGGCAGCCTGCAGCCCAAAAAAAAAACGGTATAGTTTCATGTATACTCGGATCTTATAGTATACTATGCCGTTTGAAACTATGTTATGGCATCTTATCGCGTCCTATTCTGAAGCTAGGAGGCCTCTTTCATTAGAATGCAGCCTTTGGGGAATTCTGTTGTATGCTGTAGCATATACGTGATGATATCATTGTGGAATATCTTTACCTGAACCTAAACCCAAAACCCTAAATCTTAATGCCTCCACTCTAGGCCGCAAAACTAAACCAGCTGGGCCGGGCCTGGGCGGAACGACCTGAGACTGGGCCTCTTCCAGCTCTTTGTGGCTGGCTTCGGGCTCCTGGCACTTCCATACCAGGATCTCAAAGTGAGGATTGAAGAGTTAGGGCTTAGGGCCTAAGAAGGAGGTTTAATTTGGTTTTTAGAGGCAAAACAAACACGACCCGTCTTTCCGGCCTGAGGCGAGGAAGCCTGGCAGGGGCAAACAAGTCAGAGCCGAATTTCAAAATCTCAGGTGCTTACAGTAAAGTGGTGTAGAGGATACGATGTCGCCTTGGATCGCGAGGCCGCAGCGCTGGGCGGGCCTGATGCAACGAGAACTGCAGGCACCAGTGCCAAAAGCCTCAACAAGGCACTGCGGCCCAATGCCTGGGAGTATTCCTGAAACCTCCACGGAAGCATAGCACCTCAAAAGAACTTCCATCCGAATCACTGTTTTTCGTGCAAAACGGATTGAGGCTTGGACCCCATTAAACAGCCATCATCAGCAAGACCTTAACCGGTCGATACGCGCTGGTGAACTCGAACATCCTGCCCTGCTGTGGGCCACGCCGGAAAATGCGAGATGGCGCTGCCATCCAGTGTATGGAGATTGCGTACACGTGTTGCATCATGATGGTCGGGGGCTGTGTGCTTTGTCAAGATATTCAATCGGGCGCCTCGTGTGCCTGTGAAACGGCTGCATGGAAGTGGGCAGAGGACATGAGCGGCGTGCAAGATTACGAAATGCATTCTGGTGCAATCAACATGTAGACTGCGACTGCCTTTGCAGTCACCGCGAAACCACCGGATGCCGGAGGTCATTGAGAATAGAAAAACTGCAAAAACTGTTTCTGAAAGCGAACGTACCAGAAACACATCGCTTCCTCTGCTTTGGGATTCATCCGCGTCTGCCGGGACTCGCACGCACACACACACACACACACACACACTCTTACTTGCTTTTCTCAGAACCACAACAACAAGGCAACGCTGTGCGAAATCCATGGAACTGGAATTCCAAATGGGTCGTGCTGCTAGTCCGGACCCTTGTTGTGGCAATGCACGAAACACGCAACTGCCAGCGCAAGACGATCTACTCCAAGAAGCTTGCGCGTGGTATCCTATCAGCACCATCCCGAACAAACTGAACCGCTTGCAACATGTGAGTTCTCGTCCGGGTGGAACGACCACAACTATATTTATTAGGGGATCGAACAACAAAAAATCTTAAGCCCATCAACGAGTGGTTCCTGCAAAGCCCATTTTGATGCAAAGCGTGCAATTTCCGCCGGTACTTGGAAATGTTGCTGCGTTACACAACATATGAAAGCATGTCAGCCGGAACTTTCATGGAGACGAGAGACTGGACGGTTTGCGACTTTGTGGCAGCCGGTCTCTCCGTCCTCCCTCACTATTTCGTTTTCTCCAGTCGTCCAAGGGCCGTCGTCGCAGACGAACAGACACCGAGCAAAACCAAAGCAGGTCGTTCAGTGGCGCTTCCCGACAGCCCGCCACTTGAAACGCAGTGGTCAGACGGACGCACGTCCGACACGGCAAGCGGCCTAAAATTTAAAGTTGTAACTTTCCCACACACACACACACACGTTCGTGCACTTGACCACGCCTCCGTGTGAAGTTGCGAGTGGACGCGCAAAACTGTAACTTTCCCACCCTTTTCAACACTCGACCGCCTAAAAGTTGTAACTTCGTGCGCTCGACCACACGAATCCCTGTGAAGGATTGCACGGGTCTCCTAAGAGCGCCGGAAAGTAGTAACTTTCCCACACGTTCGTGCACTCGACCACGCCAATCCCTGCGAAGGGTTGCGCGCGGCGCCTTAAATGTGTAACTTTACCTGCGCTTGAGCGCTCGACCAGGCCAATCCCTGTGAAGGGTTGCGTGGAGCGCTTAGCGTTTGGGCGCTCGACCGGGCCAATCCCTGTGAAGAGCTGCATTCCCGATCGATGACGATGGTGCCACCCTGGCTTTAAAAAGAGAGATTGTGTACCGAGATGTAGATAAGTCGGACAGAACCAAAATCACAAAATCATAGAGTCACAGAGTCACAGAGTCATAGAGTCAGAGTGAGATAGCGTCATAGGGTCAGAGTCATTTTTTTGGCTTGACTGGGCCTCGTCGACTACGGCTGTAGCACTCGGTCCCTACAAACAAGCGAAACTAACACAAACTACAAACAGACAAAGCGGTGAGACAGCAAAGCGAAGCTCTACAAAGGGCTGCGGCGCACAGGCTTTGCCGGTGTTAGCCGTTCAGCACCAAACTACGGAGCCTCAGCGACCGGTCAGGAGCAACAAAGAGCCGTCGCTCAGAGCTGCCCAAAACAACAGGTGGAGCCAAGTCCAGGCTCCGGTTGCCGTTCTAGTCTCGCCAGACAACGGACAACCCCTGTGTTTTGTTCCATCACGATCGTGCACACCAAAATCCAAAAGTCCATGGCCCACTGCAGTGTGAGCGGCTTCCGGAGGAGGAGTGTGAAGACCAGTGTCGCAGGCAAGGGACCCGCTCATGCAACCGCCATCAAGTCTCAAGGCGTGCCAAGCACAAAGACGGCGCTCTAATGTAACACTGGCAACAAGTGTGGGCTACACCCACCCGGGCAACCTGCCAGAGTCCAACCAGTGACAAGTTGCGCGACCAGTCCGCTCTGGTGCACAAGGACGCCGCCTCCAGCAGAAGCGAATCAATGTCGCAAGCGGTGAGTTGAAACACTGGGTCAGCCGCAAAGGCAGGCAGAGATCGCCAAGGTGGACATTGACGTGCAGGTCAGCGCTTCCACGGCATCGCCGCACGGTAGTGGCGGCAATGACAAGGAAGACACCATTCGGCGGTGGGAGTAAACCGATGGACAGGTGAAGGGGCGAGCGGTGGGGGCCGGCAGGCGGCAAAGCTTAGGAGCATTCCCCTTCCGCTCGAACGTGCACACCATAGTCCAGAGGAGGACACCAGGTGGCGGTGCACCATCAAGGTGCCGAGGGCATGAGTGACAAGAAAAAAAGACTCAACGACGTATGTCGTCAGTCGCAACGGCTTCCACAGGGGGACAGCGATCGCAGACAGTGATGGACCGCCTGATCCCGTTTGTTCCGTCACAACTGCACCCAGAGCCAGAATTCCAAGCCCACAGGCAAGCGTGGCCGGCATCCAACCATCGGGTGCGTCGACATGGCTGCCCACGTCGTTGAGTCCGACCTCGGCAAACGCGCTTAAGCCGAGTAACCCCAGATGTCACATGCTCCAGAAAAAGACGCAACGACGTATGTCGTCGGTCACAACCGGCTGAAAGACTTACTGTCAACCAGAGGGGCCAGCCAGCGCCTAGCGCGGCCAGCTATCGAGTTGGCGCTGCATGTCACGACCGCTCGAAGGGAAGTGACTCTCCCTTAAGAGATAGAGCAGCTGGTAATTGCCGTCAGGATAGATTTCCGTCACCCTTCGAAAAGTGTATTGGTGAGTGTCCTGATCAGGGGCATGCAGATGTGGCATTAGGTCGGTGGATACACATGGCAATTGGAGGCCAGGTCCGAGGCCCCCTTGCCTGCGGAACTCCTCGGCCGCTGCCCTCCAGTCTTCGTGCGCCCAGGGATGCCCCAGCCTGACCCAGGGACGCTCGCCACCCGGCAGCTCCTGCGTCTGATTGTCTTCCCTGGCTACCAACCGGTGAAGGAGGACCATCGCTTTCGAGTCAAATGCGTCGAAATGCGCGAAGCGCCACAACCGGTCTGGGAAGTAAAATTCTTTCTTTTGTGGTCCACGTATCCAATAGGCCACTACCGCCCGGAGATCCCATCCATCAGTGGTAGCAGCAGCACGAAGGCGCCACAGTGCACTATTCAACAGGCCCGCGGCCTGAATAGAGAGGGAAGGCTGTGCTTGTAGACCCAGCGGGATGTCCGCAAGCGGAAAGAGCAGCCGAAAAGTACCCCAATACACTCCCGGGTACGTGAACATTCGCGGATCGAACTCGCCGCGTCTGGCTGGGAGGAGTCCACTCTCGAAACACGCCATCAGCCGGTCAGCAATGGCGATTTGGGGCTGGCCCACCAGGGTAGCCGGCACCTCGCATTTGACTCGCACTTCAATGTGCTGGCCGTCGCGAGTCGGAGTAACGTTGGTGAGCTGCAAGAGTGGAGCAGCCGCAGGGTCATCTGCTAATGCCCTTGTGAGATAGAGCAGCAACTGCACCGGCAATAGCACACCGCAGTGAAGCAGCGGGGTTCCTTGGTTCGAGTCGAGGCTCGCGCCGCCATCCCCAGTAGAGTGTCGATGGCTAGATCCGGGGCCACGTCGGTTGCCTGCCGGGAGATGTCCTCGCTTGGGAGCCATTTGCTCCAAACTGCCGTCCCGAACAAGGGACTTCCGTCCTTCCAATGCACAGTGGAGCGACCCTTTGAGCCCAGCAAGCTCATCCAGGAGCAGCCACCACCAAATCTCCGGCCGAGCGAGCTCATACCAGGACAAATCGAAAACTCGTCCTTCAGGTAGGCGCAGAACTGGGTCGCAAAACTGTGCTAGTGCGACGGACACTGCCAGCATGGGTGTCAGGCAGACGAAATGCTTCGTCATCAGTACAGCGCCGTAGCATGAGTGCCCGGTCAGCGAAGTCAACCACCTTCACCCCAAAATTTTGCGGACTGATTTTGACTTCACACGCAGGCAGGGACAGGGGGAGGGAAAGCAAGGTAAGACAATCGGTGGGGTTAGGTAGTAAATGTTGTAGCGCACCAGCGCAGTCCACCCCCTCGACAGGCCGCTGTTGGTTGCCCCGGGGTTGGTAGCGGCGGAGAGTATCATGCTGCTCCTCAAAGTCCTCCTCGTCTTCTGCCGGTACACACCGGCTAGCAGGCTAGCAATGGATGTAACTCCCGGCGCAAGGCGATTAGGCGGAGTCTCCACCGCACTCAGCAGAGCCTCCACACGTTGGCTCCATGCAGCTCATAGGGGCGGCAGGGAGGGAGGCAGCGCAACTTTGACTGCGCAACTCCGCGGTCAATGCAGGATCCTCCTTTGCAGGGGTGCCTGCCTCCGGGTCCGGGCGAACCTTTCCCGTCGGATCGTAAAGGGCACGTGGTAGGCCCGTAGTAGCGACTGGTGGCAGCATAACAGTTGCGGAGCAAGGATGGCGCATTTGTGACGACACGAAACGCTGCAATCTCCCCAGCAGGGTTGTGTTAACAGTATCCGCCGCAATGGAATAAAGGTAGAACGCCCCCGGCACGGCGGTCACCAGCGATTCCGCGGAATCAGTTTGGCCTCTACACACAGTTGCAAGCGGGTCGAAGTACAAGTGCTCCCCTATTAGAGTCCGATGGTGATTGGACCGTAGCGCACTGTATAATCTTTTGGGTGGAGGCACGCCCACCCCCTTGTGCTCTCGAAGGAGGTGGAGACTGAAACGAGGCGGTGTAGTAAATTCCAGCAGTCCAAAGACTGGTCGATCGGTGTCAATCACCGGATAGAACGGGCGTGCC